ATCAGCAAAAAGAACTCTGCCCCTAGATTGACCCTCAAGACAATGATCCTCTTTCTGTCATCCAGTCCATCTTTCCTGTCTTTTTTTCCCATGCACCCGAATGCCTTCTCTTTCTCTTTTTTACTCTCTTACTAGAAAGAATCATAAAAAGACTCCCCACAGTTTTCTTTCACCAATGCTCAGCTTGCATGTATAGTTCTCTAAGACGGTGCAACCCAGTATTAAGATTTGTGATTTCTGAGGTCTGTATTAGACTCTGAAGTATGAAAGTACCCTTGTATTTAGTCAGAAGACTGTCTGAATGGTTTCTCAACACACAGACTGTTGCACCATTGACTAAGACAAATGAGAGAAAGCAGTATAAACAGGTTTAATCTCTTTCTCTTTCTGCTCCATTATTCACACACTGATAGACTGGATCAATACATGGAATTCCTTTGAACACTGAGTGTGTGATTATGAGCGTGTGCCTGTGGTGGTGGGGTCTTCTGGGATAGTGTCTGCTGTGATATGCACTCTTACCATCTAGAACACATGAAACACGGGATGCCAGGAGTCAAACATCATTCCTCAAGTGTTTGATTTCTTCAGGCAGTGTGACAGGTTGCTCTCTTGAGAATGTATGCTAGACTGCACAATGTTCTGTTTGGTCTGAGGGGAGGAAAGTTTTGGGGCAGAAAACCCCTTTCTGTCACACACACACATACACACACACACACACACACACACACACACACACACACACACACACAGAGGATTACTGTAATAATTATTTTATATATATATATATATATATATATATATATATATATATATATCACACTCACAGCAGTCCATTACGTCAGTCAGCGGAACAGCTTACTTCTGGTGGCTTCTACCTCAAAATTGAGTTTGTGTGAACACCTTGTTTGTTTTTGTGTTTTCTTCCTCTTGAATGCTGCATGGATGTGAGACATGTTTTATCAGGACCCGTTTGGTCTGACGGCTGGCACATTGCGTAAATTTTAGCTCTTGTAAACCTGCATGTCTGCACTTGTCTTCTGATGCTGTTGGGCTTTGTTTCATCCTCAAATCAGGACAAACAAGACAATGTGGGTAATACTGTAACTGACTAGCTGAAGGGCATTTTTGTCTGTCTGTCTGTCTGTCTGTCTGAATGTCTGAATGCTCATACGGAAAAAGCTAATTATTGTCCGGACTGATGTCACCTGCACAATTGGTGGCTGACTAAATACTTTTTTTCCCCACTGTATATGTATACAGTATCTATATATATATACAGTATATATATTGGGGTCAGTTTTTTTTATAACTTAATACTTTTATTTAACAAACATGCATTACGTTGATCAAAAGCTACAGTAGGCCTAAAGAAATTTGTAATGTTACAGAATATTTCTTCTTGTTGTTCTTTTAAACTTTCTATTCATCAAATAATTAAAACAAAACAAACAAACAAAAAAACGGTTCTCAGTTTTCACAAAAATATTAAGCAGCACAACTGTTTTCAACTTTGGTAATTATATTAAAATGTTTACTGATTTAGTATGATTTCTGAAGAAATCATGTGACACTGAAGACTGGAGTAATGGCTGCTGAAAGTTTTGCCATCACAGGAATAAATGGCATCTTAATACAAACAGTTACTTTAAATTGTAATAATATTACTGTTATTACTGTATTTTAGATCAAATAAATGCAACGTTCGGTATGCTGCACATATGTTTTGAAAGAAAATTGCACCTACCCCAAACTTTTGAATGGTAGTGAATGATAATTATTATATATAGAAAAATATTTCTAATTATTTCTTTAAAAAGTTTCATTTGATTGTCTTTAGGTGTTTTTCATGTTATAATATCTTCAAGAGAAGATTTTTACTAAAATAGTTTGTTTTGTTATGATGTGTCTTAATTTTCACTGAGAAAAAAAGAAAGAAGCTTAAACTACAGAAATGTGACTGGTAATTGTGTTGATGAGATTAACACTGAGAAGAAAGACAGAGACCATTTTTTCCCTCTTTTATTATTATCTCTGTGTTGTTTTGGCCTGTTTTAGTTATGTATATGTATATATATCTATAAACTGAACATGTTATAGGTGCAATATCAAACAAACTTTTTTTGGATGGAGACTAGATTTTACAAGCATGTCTTCACACACTCACAGCAGTCCATTACGTCAGTCAGCGGAACAGCTTACTTCTGGTGGCTTCTACCTCAAAATTGAGTTTGTGTGAACACCTTGTTTGTTTTTGTGTTTTCTTCCTCTTGAATGCTGCATGGATGTGAGACATGTTTTATCAGGACCCGTTTGGTCTGACGGCTGGCACATTGCGTAAATTTTAGCTCTTGTAAACCTGCATGTCTGCACTTGTCTTCTGATGCTGTTGGGCTTTGTTTCATCCTCAAATCAGGACAAACAAGACAATGTGGGTAATACTGTAACTGACTAGCTGAAGGGCATTTTTGTCTGTCTGTCTGTCTGTCTGTCTGAATGTCTGAATGCTCATACGGAAAAAGCTAATTATTGTCCGGACTGATGTCACCCTAAACCAGAGTCAAGGACAGAGAAAAAATAATAAAGCAGAGAGATTCCACCAGTGTCACGCTTGGGGTTTTGGAGAGCTGGTTTGACATCAATTAAGTCCTGCACACACACACACACACAGATACTTTTTTTTCCCACTGTATATGTATACAGTATCTATATATATATACAGTATATATATTGGGGTCAGTTTTTTTTATAACTTAATACTTTTATTTAACAAACATGCATTACGTTGATCAAAAGCTACAGTAGGCCTAAAGAAATTTGTAATGTTACAGAATATTTCTTCTTGTTGTTCTTTTAAACTTTCTATTCATCAAATAATTAAAAACAAAACAAAACAAACAAACAAAAAAACGGTTCTCAGTTTTCACAAAAATATTAAGCAGCACAACTGTTTTCAACTTTGGTAATTATATTAAAATGTTTACTGATTTAGTATGATTTCTGAAGAAATCATGTGACACTGAAGACTGGAGTAATGGCTGCTGAAAGTTTTGCCATCACAGGAATAAATGGCATCTTAATACAAACAGTTACTTTAAATTGTAATAATATTACTGTTATTACTGTATTTTAGATCAAATAAATGCAACGTTCGGTATGCTGCACATATGTTTTGAAAGAAAATTGCACCTACCCCAAACTTTTGAATGGTAGTGAATGATAATTATTATATATAGAAAAATATTTCTAATTATTTCTTTAAAAAGTTTCATTTGATTGTCTTTAGGTGTTTTTCATGTTATAATATCTTCAAGAGAAGATTTTTACTAAAATAGTTTGTTTTGTTATGATGTGTCTTAATTTTCACTGAGAAAAAAAGAAAGAAGCTTAAACTACAGAAATGTGACTGGTAATTGTGTTGATGAGATTAACACTGAGAAGAAAGACAGAGACCATTTTTTCCCTCTTTTATTATTATCTCTGTGTTGTTTTGGCCTGTTTTAGTTATGTATATGTATATATATCTATAAACTGAACATGTTATAGGTGCAATATCAAACAAACTTTTTTTGGATGGAGACTAGATTTTACAAGCATGTCTTCACACACTCACAGCAGTCCATTACGTCAGTCAGCGGAACAGCTTACTTCTGGTGGCTTCTACCTCAAAATTGAGTTTGTGTGAACACCTTGTTTGTTTTTGTGTTTTCTTCCTCTTGAATGCTGCATGGATGTGAGACATGTTTTATCAGGACCCGTTTGGTCTGACGGCTGGCACATTGCGTAAATTTTAGCTCTTGTAAACCTGCATGTCTGCACTTGTCTTCTGATGCTGTTGGGCTTTGTTTCATCCTCAAATCAGGACAAACAAGACAATGTGGGTAATACTGTAACTGACTAGCTGAAGGGCATTTTTGTCTGTCTGTCTGTCTGTCTGTCTGAATGTCTGAATGCTCATACGGAAAAAGCTAATTATTGTCCGGACTGATGTCACCCTAAACCAGAGTCAAGGACAGAGAAAAAATAATAAAGCAGAGAGATTCCACCAGTGTCACGCTTGGGGTTTTGGAGAGCTGGTTTGACATCAATTAAGTCCTGCACACACACACACACACAGAGGAGCCTAATGTCGGATGACCCCCCTCAAGGATCATATAAACGACACATCGCTGCAGGGGGCGACTTTGGACAATTTAGGCTATTCTTCACCTACCGCACACATAAATCAGTGGACGGACATTTGCAGTGTTCGCAGATTAAAGCATGTGGAAGTGTTACATTGTGTTTATGTGTATGTTTGTGCTTGTATGGGAATGTGTGTGTGTGTGTGTGTGTGTGTTTGTGTGTGATCATTTGCTGAAACACTCTAGAGACTGATGGAGCAGTAACAGCTTTGTAGAACAGATAGAGGGAGAGAGAGAAAGAGAGAGGGTTTTTTTTCTGTTAATGTTTGTCAATACATGGAACAGTATTGAATTTACTCATCAAGCTCAATCATTCAACCCTGTTATCAAAATTAATATAAGTAAAATGATTAAACAATTGAACTGAGGGAAATAAGAAAATATTGATACATTTATCAATAACTACAAAGCAACACTTGTGTCCCTTATAAGCTTTAGGCTAATGTATTCATTTATTTTCATTTATTCATCATGCTGAGTTTGTTTTGCATATATGTATTTTTGTACATTTTGTTTGTAATATTTATTTATTATATTTATTTACTTATGATAAAATTAGTTAAATTTATATATTAAATATATGGGTATATATATATTGTCTCTGTTGATATTTAGATTTTTTTTTATATTATATAATATATTTTTGCTTTTAGTGCAAGAAAAATTACCTTCTGAATCTAATTTATGGGAAATATAAATGTATCAATAATATAAAGCAACACTTGATACTAGCTTTAGTCTAAAAATTATTATTTTATTTTTGTTTATTAATTTATGGTTATATATGTTCATGTATATTTTTGTACATGTCTATAATATTTTGAAATGTATTTATTTAATTAATGTTTATATTTATTTTTATGCTATTTTTATCTGCTAAGTTTTAAATATATTTAGACATATTTAAATAACACACATACAAAACTTTAAACTGCAAACAAATCTAATAGACAATAAAATTCCCAGTAACAATTTAGATTAGGCAACATATTCAGTATTAGTTAAGAGTTCTTCAAACTCGTAATTTGCTACTTTTTGATAGTAAGAAAGGTTGTTGTTTGTAGTAGTTATATTTAGGTATAGAGTAGGGTTAAGTGAACTAGAATATGGTTATGCAGAAGAAGGCATTAATATGTGCTTTATAAGTGCTAATAAACTACAAATATACTAGTAATATGCATGCTAATAAGCAACTAGCTAATTGTAAATAGTAATAGTGTTCCCTAATCTAAAGTGTTACCAAATGATTACTTTGACTTCTAAGTTTGACAGAGCACATTTTCTGAAGGTGCTGTAAGCAATTTAAGGTATTTCTCTAACAACCGCCAGATTTAGCCACTGATTTTGCCCTCCAAAGACATGTCAGCCATCTCAATGTCAGGAAAGATGAACATCCGCGTGATTGACAAGCAAAGAGTGTTTCTGATTAACTGCTTCCTTGACTCTTCTTTGTTGTTTAAAAGTCTAGGGCTGTCAGAGAAACGTGTGATTTTTTTAGGACATGTTCAGGGTGGTTAGCATACTCAATTTGTGCTCAGTCTAGACTTCTTTCTCTTAAATCCATTCTCTCTCCTCATTCATTTTAAATCAAAACCATAGTGCGTGGAAGTATCATCTAACCCCAGTGGGCGTTAGGGGATCTTATCGTTAAGGCTAACGGCTAGCTGCGGTGAGAGAGATATAGGGGCTGCTGTTGCGCTGGTCCAGCTCCAGACACAACTGCTATGATTTAGGCGCCAGTCATCTCTCCATCCCGCTACTGACGGATGAGGCGCTGGAGCAATATGTTCTGGGTGAAATCAGAGACAACGTATTGAGTTGTCTAGGTGTGTGTGTGGGTGGGTAGGTTGTGCAATCTGCCTTAACACTTTTCATTTCACTTGCTGTGTATCACATTATATAGAGTGAATGAAATGACCCTATAGAGGTATTTAAAGAGACAGTTCACCATAAATGACAGTTCTGTTGTTATTACTCTCATGTCATTCTGAACTCTTTTGGAATGTCTTTCTTTTGTAGAGCACAAACAGTAACATTAGGTAGGATGTCCATGCTGCTATTTTCCATTCAATAAAAGTGAATTGCCAAATATTATTTTTTTTTAAAGATTTTTAAAAAACATTTTTTAAAGAAGTGTAATTTTATTTTTTTATCTAAATATATTTGTTTTATTTATTTTTAGATATTGAAATTAGTTTAAAATATTATTTATATAATAATAATAATAACACTATTGTTTATTATACCATTTTTAAACAATTTCAACATTTCTGTCGAATGTTATATTTTCTTTACAATGCATGAAATAACATTAAAAAATCAGTTACTCAACAAAATAAACATTAATTGAAATAAAATGAAATATAAAAAACTATATGAAATATAAAAATGATTTTCATTTAGTTTTAACTTGAATACTAAAATTATGAAAACTAAATAAACTATAATTTAAAAATAAATAAATAAATATATATATATATATATATACAGTATATATATATATATATATACATATATATATACATATAAATTAAAATAATAATAATAAAATGATGAAAACATTATTAAAGTGTAAACCGAAAATTTTAAACTATATAAAGTAATAAAGTAAAAAATAAAACTTTTATAAAAAGTATGTCAAACTATAATAGCAAAAAAAAATTAAAAATTTATAAAAGCATGTCAGTGATACTAAAATTTTTTCTAAAGCTCAACAGTAAGATTTTTATTTCTGATTGTCTGGTCAGGCCAATAAGTTTTAGATTTCTACTTGCCCTGTTAATGTTTTCTTAGACTCTTTGAATCACAGAAGATTGTAAATGCATTTTCTTTATTAGTTTAAAATAATTGTATTTTAAATAATAATAATTATATATTTCATTAAAATAAAATTCAAAGTTTTATTTTTAAATATATTTTTTCCTAATTTTTTTATTTTTTTTAGATATATTACTTAATATTTATTGTAATTTCTTTTAATTATTTATTATTATAATTTTTTTTTTTATTTTTATTATACATATTTAGAAAATGTTTTCAATATTTCCATCAAATTTGACATGTTCTTTATAAAGCAAAGCATAAAAATGAACATGAATCATCAAAAAATGTAAGGTTTTGTATTTCACTTGGTATGAACAGCTTTTAAATATCAGTCAGCAAACGTACTTTTCAATCACTTTTGCAGTGAGCAAACTAACTACGCGATTAAGTAGATTGAAACAAGGGGCAGTGGCATTGCAGCAATGGAGACAGAGGACACGAAAAGAATGAATGAGGGATTGAATGAGAGGTCAGTGAAAGAGTGAGTTCAGTATTGACAGAAGGTCAGAATGAGAAGGAGTCCCCAGGCTGATGGATGAGAGTCGGCCTTTGAGAAGAGACAGAGCTGCAGACACATGAGCACAGCAACAGACAGTGCAGAAACAGACAGATGGTTAGACGGATGAGCGCGAGTCCTCTCTGCTGGACGGATGGTCACACTGCTCAGAGCAGTTTCGGGTGAGGAGTCAAAGTTCACGCTGGGTTTAGGGTCATCATCACTGACACAGAGTGACGAGTCAAAGGAATGTTCTTAAAACACTAAATCAACTTTTTCACAAGCTCTCTGAAACTTTTTCAGCCTTGACGGGTAATATGAATGGCTAGTTAAGTATTGTAGAGGTTAGTTGTGTGGACTGATGGTCTGTGTACTGGTGTGAGCAACAGGCCAGATCCTGTCTGTCTATCTATCTATCTATCTATCTATCTATCTATCTATCTATCTATCTATCTATCTATCTATCTATCTATCTATCTATCTATCTATCTATCTATCTATCTATCTATCTATCTATCTATCTGTCTGTCTGTCTGTCTGTGCCATTCATTAGTGACAAACTAAACTCCGACCGTTCCGTTTAATGTGGGCATAGTTCAAGACTTGGGCATTTATGAGTATTCCCACCCTTTTCTCCTCCCCTCTCCTCCTCCTTCCTCCTCTCTCTGTCATCAAGTGATGATAAATGAAAAGGTTGTTCTTTAGAGTCTTGTTGTTGTATTTAGTAAACACACATCAGTGTATTTATTTATATGGTGTATATTACATAACAATGTACCATTTCTGTTGAATCTATCACCCACACATACATCATATCCTGCACTGACTGTCAAATCAGCACTATTTTATGTAATGCAAGTATAAAGCATGAGAATATACACTCTAATACTGGCGTCTTCAACTTCCTAGAACAAAGACTGCTTGTTTGATAGATTTATGTATATTATGTATTTAATGACATTACAAATAACCATTACTGATGTACAGTAATCAAAATTTAATTTAACAATACATTTGAGGTGGAAGGGACAATAGAATATTTAGCTGAACTTTGAGTTTGAGTTTGTGAGATTGTGCTCTTGGTAACAGTTCATGTGGTCTCTGTATGTGTCTAGCAGTGACTCATGCTGTCAGATTGATTCAGTGCACCTTTCCTTTAGCCTCAGGGATGAGTCTGAGAGTTCAGACACCCATACAAGAGTAAAACACCATTAAAACTGTTGAGGGTCGTAGTAAATCGTGATTATAGTAGCTAAATCATGATAAGATTGTAGCACTTCCTGTGTCCTTTATCTACTGCCGTCTCTATATACTGTGAAAATCTGCTCTTACTGGCTCAGAAACATTTGCATCATCAAGGCAAGTTAATTTTCTCAGGTTTTTGGTTCAGAATAACCAAAACATCACTCACACGTGTTTGATACGGCAACTATGAGGGAGGAGGAGGACTGTGGTTGAACCTTTTACTTTGGACTCCATCCAGGCTACATACAGTTTGCTTTGTGTTTGAAGCATCTTTACACCAGGTATGCTGCAAAATTAACTCACTTGTGGTATTCGCTCTCATTCTGAACTTATTTGATCTTGGTTACCTGCCACAGGGACATTTCTCATTACCAGGTGCAGAGGAAATGCCCTATGGGCTAGGTGGGCAGGACCTCCTGTACCTTATTTTCTAACTATAATCCGGTGCTCCAACATAAATCCCTCACAACATTCAAAACTGTGTAAAGGAAGGTGGAGGCTTTACAAGTAACAGCTTCCTGGAATGTGACTGAATTTATGTAGCTGTTTGACTCAACACAGTTAACCGGGCCTGAAACTGAATGCCTGTCAATCACAAAGTTCCACAAGTCCCGCCCTTTATGTGTGTTCATTTGTAAAATATTTTGGCTAATTTGAATATTAGAATATAGGTCTAATTTTTAAACATTTCAACCCACTTGGAACAATTTTATAGATTTTTAGTGCAAAAAAACAAACAAACAAAAACAATATTACATCTGGACCTGCTTTTAACCTTGCTGTTGGCCCCAGTTATATTTTTATGTCACCTAATCTTTGTTCTTTCCACACCATTTATGTGAAGAAAATCACCTTCAGACTTGGAAGACATGCAATATTATGTGTCTGAAATGTCATTAGTCCATTGAGAAGCAGGATGTTGAATGGGTTAAGTTGAGTCTGCAGGGTTTAGGAAGTGAGCAAAAGGCGGACAAAGGTATGTAGTTGTCACTGTTTCACCACTGGAAATAAGACGCATGCTCTGGCAGCTGGAAACCATTTGCTTCCAAAGATGCTAAGGAGTGGAAACACACACACACACGCACACACGCGCGCACACACACACACAGAGAGAGACAGAGCTACTGCAGTTACATAACATTAAAGGAGAAGTGAATAACAGACAAAAAATATAAATCAAAACTTTTAAACAACTTTTGATAAATTTGGTTGATGGTTCAGGATCGAGGTCGAATATTATGGGTTCCTGTCAGGAACAGGAACTCGATCAGTGTTTCAGCACCGGCAGGCTCCGTGATGTCCCATCTGTTGTATGAATCCATAAGTAACTGTATTATATAATCAAATTTAGGGTAGGAATGTAAGTTGAGGTGTGTGTGTGTGTGGTCTTGTGTGGATTAGTTTAAAATGCAGGGCTGTTTACGAGCACTGCTGTTAGTTTGGGTATAATTACAGAGAGATGTCCCCAAGTGTGTGTGTGATTTGAGTTTAAACAGGAGTCTGTAATAACATATGCGTGCTAGGTTACTAAGAGTATAGTGATGCAGTTTTGGATTATTAATGAGATTTAACGTCATTGCCCTCTTTTGGACATTGCTCTACTATAAATAAAAGTGCAGCTCCATTAGGACAAGTCCGCCACCTAGTGTAAGTATTAGGAACTGCAGAGTAAGTGGAGCATAGTGAGCATGCAATAGTTGCAGTGCTATTAGGAATATAAACGTATACATTTAATATAAATTAGAAATAAAACATTTCATATTTTATTATTTCAGTATTTTAAATTTATTGTTACAGTTAGCTGATAAACTTTAATTTTGTTTTTGGGTTTGTCATTTATTAATTGCTAATTAATTTTTTTTGGACTGAAATGTCTGGAGCATATGCACAAGCTGCTAAACATTCAGCAAAGAAAACTGAAGTGTGGACAGCACCCTATAGCATAACTTCAGTAAGTGTGTGTCCTTGGAATAGGCGGTGTAATTATATTACTGCATGGAAAAAAAAAGAGAGTTAAATGTATTTATAATAAATTATTTAGCTCTTATTTGATTAAAATAATACTTAATGTATTTTTAGCTATATAAGAAAAACTATTTTAGACTATTTTGTCTAATTGAGCTTAAACCTCACCTGTTTCCTCAAAAACTGATGAGCTCTGCTTACATGGTATAAACACAATAACTCAAGAAAACAGAAGCATTATGCTGTTTGAATTTATTTCCGGTTAATTTGCATGACTACAACTTAAGTGCTTTAGAAAAACAAAACTATTTTTTCTTCATTCCAAAATATTAAAGAAACCACCACAAATCAATAACAGAACAAGCCAATTTCCTTTTAAATTCCTGCATGTCAAACCTTATGAACCAGAAATTTAATATTTATATTATGTAAAGTTAGTGACTGTTGCGTCTTCCTTTGTGGTTATTTCAGTGTGGCGTATGCAAGTGAGCTCTAGAAGGCTTTAAAGAGCTGGTTGGGTAGATAGCTGAGATGAAGGAAGGACGTTTGTGCTTCTCTCTCCAGGTTGGCTAGTTCCTGTACGGTCGGGGCCAGTATATCCACATGGCCCTTATAGAGACCACCTGGGGTGTGTGAGAGGAAATAGATATAGAGATAAGTAACAGATACAATAAATGGAAGCATATAAACAGGACACCTGAAAGATATACTCACCCCCCGCAGTCCTGCGCTGCCCGTAAGTCACTTTGCCATCAAATTCATCCACAGGTACTTTGATGTCAGGTTCACACTGAGTAATGGTGCATTTCAGATGTTCCTCGATTTCTGCCAACAACTAAAATGGAAAAACAATTAAAGTATAAAATAAGTTCAAATCTTGTAAATGTCATGTAAATGTATTGAGCGAGTTCTCACCTCTTTCTCGTTGTACCAAATAGTACACCCTCCATTCTCTTTGAGTCTGGTGTTATAGCAGCTTTTTCCTCTGCTGGCACAAACATGGTACCACACCTGTGTGAAACCCCACACAAACACACAATTAACACACTAACACATTACATTTTTACACCGCCAGTTCTGCTTTACTTCCTGCTTACCTTCTCTTTCTCCATAGCAACCAGAGATATAGCCAAACCCATCCTGTAATGACATCACAAATATCAATGAATGATTAAAATGTAAACGCAGTCAGATGGTTATCTTCAGCTAAAGATAAATGCTGGCTGTCACCTGTCCGCTCTGCCAACTCTTCCAATGCGATGAACATAGTTCTGCTTCTCATCTGGTAGAGTTACATTTATCACTGCAAAAAAGACAAGACTGCAATTTTCTGTTTCTGAACTTTAGATAGGCTTGACTAATATTTTTTTTTTACTGATATTTGCAATGTTGTTATGTTTTTTAAACAATGGGTCTATTAATAAATGGCACAAGCAGCATTTCAATGCAATCATTTTGCAAAACAATCTATTCAAATTATTTTTTATAATATTTTTTTTTAATAATGAAAAATTATTTTATAAATATTTTAATAATAATTAATTTATTAGTATTCTTTATTTTGTTTGATTAAATATATTATAGTGTTATTATTATTAGCAATAATTTGAAATTATTAAATGCGTTTTAATATTATTATTAATAATAACAATAAAAAATCATTCTGCATATTAGTTGTAGGAAACATGAACAACATTTTTGGTATCAGTCATTAAAAAATATATATATTTCACACCATTGTGAAGGTAAATTCATTAAACTGAGAAATTCTTCTTTCTTACCATAAGGAACGCCACGAATATCAATTCCTCTAGCAGCCACATCTGTGCAAATCAGAAACTTCACTTCCTGTTTCTAAAGTAAGGATGATGAAAGGATACTTCAACAGAGTGGCTATTATCAGTAAAAGTTATTTAAATAAATAAAAATATAATAATTTAAATTTGATTCCAGTTTTTCTTTACCTTGAATTGCTCCAAGTTATATTTGCGCTCATTTGGTTTCCTGTCGCCATGAAGACAGACACAAGAGAACGGGTGTCCTTTCTTGTCTGGACCTGTAGGAAAAGCCAAATGTTTGCATCTAGACTTGATCATATATAATGGCTGTTAGATAATGAAGCTAAAAGCCCGAGCTGTGTGCCTCACCTCCTCCCTGTTTGATGAAGTACTGCTCCAGATTGTCACAGTCGATCTTTGTCCTGCAAAAGATGATGGCCTGATCCATCTTATGCTCCTTAATGGCTCTGATCGCATACTCTCCCTTCAGAATCTTAATGGCCTCTGACCACATCTCTGATAAAGCCATATAACATGATTCACTGCAAGACCTTTATATCAGACCAAGTCAAAGTCCTTTTGAATTGTTCACAATTGATAATACGAGCCTAGAAATATTCAGATTTTTCACCATGATGTTCTTAATGGCTGGCTATTCTTACCTGAAGTGTTGGCTCCAGGTCGTGTGTCATCCTTGGCATGAACTTCATCAGTCTGTGAAAACACAACATCAGTGATTTAGACTGTTCCGACATTCCGGAGTTTAAAACGGCAGAATGAAGTGAGATCTTTGCTAGTGTTAAATATATGTACCCTAATGTGGTTTTTCAACAGTTTCTCCCAAATTCGGTCTTTTTTTGGGTTGACTGGCACCACCACGTGATGGACCGTTTCTGGTACAGAATCTTCTCCCTTCAGATCCACCCATGTGGGGAAATGCATGATCTTCTCTGAGAGCTTCTTCACATCGAATGAGTGCAGTGTAGCAGAGCAAACTATCACCTACAACACATACAGTAATTCATTCATTAAGAACTGCAGCTGACAACTCTATAGAAAGTAGAAATCTAGCGCTTTGATCACCTGCAGTCTTTTGCCGTCTGAAGTAACCTGTGGGATCTGGTTGTAGATCCTCATGATGAAGTCAGTGTAGCCAGCTGTGAGGAGTCCATCCTGAACACATTTATTCAGGCAGAAATTATAAAGGTTTTTTCTTTTTTTTGCACTTTCCCATATGTTCAGATAAATTTAACCCACAATCTTGATGATGATACACATTTGTTTCTGGCTTTTTATAAATTGAGGCATTTACAGTGAAAACAACAACTCTCAAATGCTGTCAACAGAACTTGTAGTTAAGCCAAAGCATTCCTTTAATGTAAAACTGTTCAGAGCATGAACGTAAGTGTTCAACATACACACTCATCCAGCACCAGGAAGCGGACTTGGGAAAGATCCAGCTTTCCTGTGGATATGAGATCATCCAGTCTGCCTGGGGTCCCAACCACAATATCAACCTAAAAGGACAAGTAAAAAAAAAATTATAAACACAGAAAGATGCATAGTATTATAAACTTTGTTTAATGTTCTGTATTATGGTCTTGGACAGGAGTCTTAAATCACTTTCAAGATAGATAGATAGATAGATAGATAGATAGAGAGAGAGAAGGGAGGGTTACATATTGTATCAAATTAAGTGTTGCCTTATTAAAACTGGTCTGTGATCACTTTTGTATAGTAACATTATTTTAATTGATATTTTGGTTACAATGCTATCAAATAATCATTATTGTACATACTTGTTTACTGAAGTTATATCTATATAATTTAATATTTAATTTTATAAACTAACATTCAAAACTGTGGGGTCAGTAAGATTTTTTTAATGCTTTTGAAAAGTCTCTTATGCTCATCTAGTCTTCATTTATTTGATCAAAATACAGTACAAAAGTAATATTATGAAATATCATTACAATTTAAAATACCTGTTTTCTATGTCAATAGGTTTTAAAGTATAATTTATTCCTGTGATGGCAAAGCTACATTTTCAGCAGTCATTACTTCAGTCTTCTTCGGTGTCACATGATCCTTCAGAAATCCTTCAGAAATCTGATTTGGTCCTCAAGAACATTTCTTATTATCAATGTTGAAAACAGTTGTGCTGCTTAATATTTTCATTGAGAATGTTTTGTAATATTTTTGGTGTTATTTTTGTTCAGGATTCGATGAATAGAAAGTGCAAAAACACAGAATTTATTTGAAACAGATCTTTTGTAACATTATAAATGTCTTTACTGTCACTTTTGATGAATTTTATGCATCTTTGATTAATAACAGTATTAAGTAATAAAAGTATAAGAAATCTTTAACCCCAAACTTTTGAATGCTAGTGTATATTTTAATTTAGCATTAAAGATAACTTGATATATTTTCACACAATAATATTTTGAGATCAAAAAATAATAAAAGACCCCTGGTTTAAGATTTGTACACTTACGCCGCTTTCTAAAACGGAGAGCTGCTCTTTAGCAGCCACTCCTCCGATGATCAGAAGATCCCTGCAATAACATCATGACGTTCAGTTAACTCCAAATCCCTCTGCAGACACTACAATAATGCAACTCACTGCAGCTCTTCTGTTACTCTCAGCTCACCTCAGTTTGGGGTTATCAACATATTTCTTGAACTGGTTGACATTATTGAGGGTTTGTTCAGCTAGCTCTTTAGACGGCTCAATGATGAGAGATCTGGGGGCGTTAGAACTGGATTTGACCTGACTCACTTTAGCACTGCCTGAGGACAATACACATCACAGACAGAATGCAAGAAACATTAATACAAGCCCTGCAGGCAGTGAAAAATGAATGTGATTTGAAGCTCACCTGTCTGGCTGGATTTGACCACATGACCGTCTGAAGCCTGGTTCAGGGCCACATATCCATCTTTAGGTTGGTTTTTGAAAGGTTCATCACCAAAGTTGAATTTCAGTTCAGCATTCTGGGTTTGATTGACAAACACACATTTTGAGAAAAGCTGTTTTGTAAGACAAATATTACGTAGCAACAACAAGCTGTGTATATGTCAGATACCTTCAGCACACAGGAAGCAAAGAAGGGCTGGTTTTTCAGCTGTGAAGGGATCTCAAAAGCCAGACCCAGATCATTACCTGCGAAAGACAAACAGGAATCAGTTACAGCGGCTTCCATTTGCATTAGGGCTGCACTGTATACTGATATTACAAATAATATTGTGGTACATTTATAGAGGTACACTACTATTGAAAAATTTGGGGTTGGTAAGATTTTTCTCTTATGCTCACCATTTATTCAATTTTATTTGAAACAGTTGTGCCTTTTAATATTTTTGTGGAAACAGTGATACATTTTTTTCAGGATTATTTGAATTAAAATAAAATACAAAAAAAAGCATCTGAAATAGACCTTGAAGTATTTGAAATAGAATTTGTATTTGAAATGGAAATCTTCTGTAACACTTTAAATATCCTTACTATCACATTTGATAAATTTATTTCATCCTTGTTGAATAAAAGCATTAGTTAGTTAGTTAATATATATCTTACTTACTCGGTAAGGTAGTGTATAACATTATTTTATGAATTATTTTACCTAATCTGGATGACAATTCAGCATAGCTCTGCATAGTGTGACATGCTTAATTAAATTAAATTAAATCAAATCATTCACTAAAACCATTTCAAAGGCATAAGTTAAAAACAAGGCTTACCATTTTTGGAGAATGACATTTGGCCTTTATCCGGATCTACGTAGCATCCGATGGTGTCATGCATAGTGAACTCCTAGAAAAGGCATAAATCATGTCAATCTACCAAAACTTGAGTGTCAAATCAAATTATCCTTGTCATACCTTACCTCTCCATAACTATCAAACTGCTTATTGTGAGATTTCTTTCCAGTTCCTCCAAAGCCAAATCCATATTTGTCCGTTCCTAAGAGATTGTAAAAACAGAATACCAAACATTCTGATTACTGAAGTAATGACATGGAGTTGACAGATCAGTGTAATGAGGTCTTACTAAAACCTACCCAAGTCCAGTGATGCCTGGGCAGTAGACCAGCCCACCCTGCACAGCCCTTGATCGTGACAGGTTACTTCATAATAATACTTCCCTAGAGAAAAATCAGCAGAATAAATCCCAGGAATCCGTAGGTTTTGGGAAGAAACAAAACACAAAATAGATACCTTTTGTGACCGCTTTGGTGGAACGACAGCCATGCCACTCTTTGAACTCTCTGCTCTGACAGCACAGGCCATCTGCACCAATAGCTGAAGGAGAAAAGCCAAAATGTAATATAATAATAGTTGCAACAAAGTAGTTGAAATAAGCTTCCCGAATCACAATGAAAAGTTCAGAATGAAACCAGGCTAGGCCTTTCACATATATATGGGTGTTAAATACTTACCAAATGCAGGACTTCTGTCATAGGGGTTCATCTGCCATTTATTGAAAACTGGAATGGACAAGAAATCCAAAAAGAACAATCAATAAATCAAAACAAACAAAAAATATATTTTGAGCGCAAATGTCTGGAATGTAGTTTCTGAAATAAAATCCTCTATATCTAGCAGTCTCAATATACAGGTGCATCTCAATAAATTAGAATGTCGTGGAAAAGTTCATTTATTTCAGTAATTCAACTCAAATTGTGAAACTCGTGTATTAAATAAATTCAATGCACACAGACTGAAGTAGTTTAAGTCTTTGGTTCTTTTAATTGTGATGATTTTGGCTCACATTTAACAAAAACCCACCAATTCACTATCTCAACAAATGAGAATATGGTGACATGCCAATCAGCTAATCAACTCAAAACACCTGCAAAGGTTTCCTGAGCCTTCAAAATGGCCTCTCAGTTTGGTTCACTAGGCTACACAATCATGGGGAAGACTGCTGAACTGACAGTTGTCCAGAAGACAATCACTGACACCTTATTTATTTACATTTCTATTTAGCTTTAAATTTACTTTTATTTCAGTTTTAATAATTTCAGTACCTCAACTTAATTCAATTAGTTGCCAAGGCAACATTTGTACTTCTAAAACATTGTACTGTGCTGTGTTCAAAAGGGAAAAATCCCAGGGAAAAATAGGAATGTATCGCCATCCTGTAGTAATTCTTACCCATGGAACATCAATGTAAACTAAGACCGGCTATATACATAAATGTGTTAAATGCTGATATATAGATGAAGGTTTAATCTACCTGCTCCTCCTGTCTTAACAGCATTGCGTCCCTTCTTCCCCTCCTGCTGGTCTTTAAGGGTCTCATAGACTATCTGGATGACTGGAATACTGAAGGCCTACAAGACCGCATTGATTTTGTGTTCACATTTCACTGCTCCTTTATATATAAAATACACTTCTGATGTGTGTCAACAGCTGTTTTTATGGTCAAATACAAAGACACAGAAAACCCAACACTGTGCTAATCAGCAATTCTTAATGTCTACGGTTGCACACTTACTCCAGTTTTTCCGCTCCCAGTCTCAGCAGCCTGTAAACATAAACACACAGGTGAGCACAGAGGTGGTGATCATGCAGAAACAGACACTGCGCTGGATAGGGATCTCACCATGAGCACGTCTCCTCCGCCCAGAATCAGTGGGATAGATTCGGCCTGAATGTCTGTTGGCAACCTGAAAGAGAGGGTCAAACCATTAACTACTTTAATAATGCCCAGATAACTAACTTATTAATGCATTTATGATGTGTATAAGAACCAGGAGAGACTGTCTAACTCACAGCCAGTCCATTTCTTCCACCGCCTGCGCAATTTCAGGCATCACTCCCATTTCTATAAAGCAAAACGAAAAGATATCAAGAACGCAAATAGTTAAACCACACTCAATATATAACTAAATACATATTCTTATAGTTTTGCTAAAATGTTGACAGGTAAATCTCACCGCCAAACGCTGCCATAGTGTCAAACTCCTGCGTGTGTCTCCACCGGATGTAACGAGTGCTGGTTTCTGTTTTGGCAGAGTGCTACGTAGAAAAAACGGTCCGTGCGGATTATGCTTCCGCGCTTCAGTTCCGCTGATCTTGTTTTTATTAACAAAAGAGATGAAAGGTTAATTTTACCACCTAGAGCGACACAGAATAATAAAACAATGTTTTAGGAACAGATACTTTTAGAAAACAACCTATAGATAATCAGTGGTAATATATGAAAGATCATCGGTCCCTTAATATTGATGTACCTCGCAGACCGCCGTAGTGTGACGTGGAGAAAACATGGCAGGTGATATAATTCTAGAAGACGAAGAGGAGAATATTTTATACGATTTACTTATTAACACAGAATGGCCATCCGAGACAGATACGCAGGTTTGTCTAAATATACGCACTTTCTTTGACTAAATGATTATTTGCACCCGATATTAAAATAATACGTGTAATTAAGCAGATCAGTTCTGCGCAAGTTATTATAAGCCACGTATCCCAAGTTCATCATCATCCAGGGGTTATTTTCTTGGTAATATGATTATGTAATAAATACCATTATGATGACTTGCAACTCCTATATATCGTGTCATGTGTATATATATATATATATTTCGGTTTATTGTCAAATATAATCACCAGCTGCAGTTTTGAGGAGCAGGTTCAAGTTCAAACTTCGGCTGATGATGACAGCTGCTAAAAACAGTCTGTGAGATCATTCGTTAGTTTGTGTTTGGTTTTCAGCTGCGTGGACTGAAGGAACACAACTCCTCAATCGTTGCAAAGGCAGTAACAGGTATGAAGTGCTACGTGACTGTAATTTCTTGGTAGGCAGCTCACCTGTTTCTTTCCAAAGCAGCTTTACAGAGAACAGTGTTTCAGAATGAATGTGTTTATTTGGCAGATATGTTTTTAGTTTGTGTTTGGTTTTCAGCTGCGTGGACTGAAGGAACACAACTCCTCAATCGTTGCAAAGGCAGTAACAGGTATGAAGTGCTACGTGACTGTAATTTCTTGGTAGGCAGCTCACCTGTTTCTTTCCAAAGCAGCTTTACAGAGAACAGTGTTTCAGAATGAATGTGTTTATTTGGCAGATATGTTTACTCAAGGTAATATAAACTCCATCTGAATAATATATGGCCTAATCACATCTTATTTAGCGATTTGAGTCCAAATCAAGTTGCTTATAAATCTACTTAAGTCAGATTATTTGTGTTTTAAGTGTGGATTCTGGGGGTTAGTTTGTTTTTACACGTGAGAAATAATTGATCTGCTTATGCACTTTCCATTCAAATAATGCCTTGTTTTGTAGTTTTAAGATGATTTACTCATTCAGAGTTATTTTAGAATTAGTTATATATAATTGTAGGTATATTAATATTTTGAATTAGCATTTTTAATATATACGCCATTTGAGGTTTAGGGTAAGTTTTTGTATTTTTTTTTACGAGTCTTTGTCATTATTATTATTATTATTGTTTTATGTTTCCATATAATGTTTCTATTTTTATAACTTTAGTACTCTTTTACTTTGATACGTTTTTGGTACTTCAGTATTTATTTATTTTTGTTAGTTGCCAATGTAACAGTTTCATTTTATTTGTTTTTATATTTATATTTTCAGTTTTATTTCAGTTGCCAAAAAAATTGTAATAGTTTTAGTTAAAAACAACAACAACACTGATTATATGCAAAGTCTCTATAAGCTGAATTGCATTACCCCAACAATTGCATTGCTGCCTTAGCATGGTTGTGAGATTATTGAATAACAGTCAAAATATTGTGTCTTTACAGGGCCCTTCAGGTTTATTCTGCACTACCTTTGGTACAGGTGAGATATTGTCTCTGCTTTTTGTATTTACAGTGAAGTATATAGTAGCTGTGCATTTAGAATTGGAAATACAGTAGATAGTGATTCTCCCATATTTAAATAATTAGATATGATGATATAACACCACATACAATATCTTTCAAAAGTTTGGGGTCAATACCATTTTTAAATGTTCTTAATGTTTCTAATGCTCACCAAGGCTGCATGTATTTGATCAAAAAGAGAGTAAAAATGATTAAAACGGCTATGATCTATTTGAATATATTTTAAAATGTAATTTATTCCTGTGATAGCAAGGCTGAATTTTCAGCAGCCGTACTCCAGTCTTCAGTTCTTAAAACGATCTTTCTGACCTCAAACTTTTGAATGCCGGTGTATATCATTACTATAGAAAGCAAACAAAGTACCTAGTTATTCTCAGTACCTGTAAAATTTCAGCAGCTGTTAGTGTTTGTGTGTGAGTCTCTGTACTTTCTTCTGTATTTCAGCCCCTCCAGTTCAACTCTGCCACCTGGACTGGTTCGCCTTGCAACCAAACAGTTGAACTGGCAATTGGTGCTGGCAAGGTAATTTCAGAATGAATGTGTTTATTTGGCAGATATGTTTTTACTCAAGGTAATATAAACTCCATCTGAATAATATACGGCCTAATCACATCTTATTTAGCGATTTGAGTCCAAATCAAGTTGCTTATAAATCTACTTAAGTCAGATTATTTGTGTTTTAAGTGTGGATTCTGGGGGTTAGTTTGTTTTTACACGTGAGAAATAATTGATCTGCTTATGCACTTTCCATTCAAATAATGCCTTGTTTTGTAGTTTTAAGATGATTTACTCATTCAGAGTTATTTTAGAATTAGTTATATATAATTGTAGGTATATTAATATTTTGAATTAGCATTTTTAATATATACGCCATTTGAGGTTTAGGGTAAGTTTTTGTATTTTTTTTTACGAGTCTTTGTCATTATTATTATTATTATTGTTTTATGTTTCCATATAATGTTTCTATTTTTATAACTTTAGTACTCTTTTACTTTGATACGTTTTTGGTACTTCAGTATTTATTTATTTTTGTTAGTTGCCAATGTAACAGTTTCATTTTATTTGTTTTTATATTTATATTTTCAGTTTTATTTCAGTTGCCAAAAAAATTGTAATAGTTTTAGTTAAAAACAACAACAACACTGATTATATGCAAAGTCTCTATAAGCTGAATTGCATTACCCCAACAATTGCATTGCTGCCTTAGCATGGTTGTGAGATTATTGAATAACAGTCAAAATATTGTGTCTTTACAGGGCCCTTCAGGTTTATTCTGCACTACCTTTGGTACAGGTGAGATATTGTCTCTGCTTTTTGTATTTACAGTGAAGTATATAGTAGCTGTGCATTTAGAATTGGAAATACAGTAGATAGTGATTCTCCCATATTTAAATAATTAGATATGATGATATAACACCACATACAATATCTTTCAAAAGTTTGGGGTCAATACCATTTTTAAATGTTCTTAATGTTTCTAATGCTCACCAAGGCTGCATGTATTTGATCAAAAAGAGAGTAAAAATGATTAAAACGGCTATGATCTATTTGAATATATTTTAAAATGTAATTTATTCCTGTGATAGCAAGGCTGAATTTTCAGCAGCCGTACTCCAGTCTTCAGTTCTTAAAACGATCTTTCTGACCTCAAACTTTTGAATGCCGGTGTATATCATTACTATAGAAAGCAAACAAAGTACCTAGTTATTCTCAGTACCTGTATTTCAAAGATTGAAATCTGCCGCTTTGAGTTTCCAGTCTTTGGTTAAATAGGCTGTTTTACCTATTATTCTCTTATCTGCTCTATATTTTTCATAGCTTTACATTTGTGTTGAATTTTTTTATGAGCAATATCATTCAGAGACTAGGCCTGCAGACATGCAAGTCTGCTTTAAATTCACTTTCATTTGTACTGTCTTAGTTCATTTCATGTAGATTTGCATTCAGCCAATATTTTCTATAAAGGCAGAATTTCCAGTGGTGTGAAGTATGTGTCATGGATGTGTTTGATTGGCATAGTCTTTTTTTATGCTCTATATTCACGCTTCTTTCTTTCTTCTCTCGTCTTGTGCAACAGAATGTGATGTTTTATATGTACCAGATAAATGTGTGTTCTGTGGTCTAGCCCTAATGGGAATGCTTTCCTCGTCTCTACATGTAAGAGTCAGTGCATATACATTCTCAGTCATTCATTAAGAAGTCATCTGTGCATAAATTAATCTGTTTTTGTGAAGGATGTATGAGTTAAGAGCATTAGACGAGAAAGAAAAATAATAAGCAGTGATATGTGTCTATAGTGAATTAAAACTGATTTATGCTGTCAGTTATGTCTATGAACCATCATTTTCTACGTTCTTGTCAGTTGCAGATAGGCAGGACATTAGGGTGAATGGTATTTCTACTCTAAATATAAAAATATTTATATAAAAATACTGATAACCAGTAAATGGCTGATATTAAAACCTGATACTAAATAATAAAAATATATATAATAATAATAAAATACTATATAAATTAACAATAAAACAAAGTTAAAAAAATTAATTGGTACAGGTGAATTTAGGCATCATAATATTATAATGTACACTGTACAGTATTATGAATGCTTTTGGTGTTAAATTATGGCAAAGGTAATCTAATTGAAGTAATCCATTGAATGTCCAATATTGGCTGATATGAAAAATTGTAAGTAATATCAGTTTTTAGCCACTAATAATGTACCCATAAATGATGCATCCCTAACACAAATCTGTGTATTGCTGCATGAGTCATCAGTAATTTTGGTCCAGGAATAGAAAAATGGACATGCAGATGACGTGATTGATGACATGACTCCTGTCATATGATGTCACTACCAAATGGTTAATAATTAAATAGGGAATTTAAGCCGGCACAGACCATTACAGATCAGCAGCATTCAGCCCAGTTGGTTACAATAAATGGCTGCTCTGCTTTGCGTCCAAATGCAATTTGCGAGTCCCTCAGGCTTGTTTCTTGTACTTTTTCACTCTCAGGCATTTTTATAGCATGTACGCAGTGTTCGAACTATACCGTGGACTTTGGGGGAGCCCACGTGTTTTTTTTGTTATAACGGGGGGGGGTTATAATTCGTGCTATCTAACACGAATTGATAGCATTAATACCATAATTCCTCAGTTCAATTAGGCCTAAGATATCGAGAGTCACGCAGACCTATAACAACCCAGCCGATATTATTGCGAATAACATGCCTTACTTAAACTCAGAATCGACCAGAGCCCAACGTTTATATTTTTTCTACGAATCTTTGAGTTTAGTCTGCAGGAGGCTGTGGGGATGAAACCGTTGCTAGGCCCTGAAGCTGTTGTATCATGCGGCTGGTGTTTAAGTGTTACTTTAGTGTTTAAGCGTACAGATTTTGTCACGCTGGGCTTTTGAACCTTAATTGAAAAGCCTTGGGCTCATCCCGCACCGAATCAGGTGCTGTTTGACTGCAGTGAACGGTTTGATGGCTGATCACTCTGTGTTTTCCTCACTGTTGACAGTGGAGGTCGTTAAAACAAAATTTAGCTTGGCCTCACAGGCCGATGCTGAATTTACTGTTTTTTTTTTCTTTTTTTTTTAAACAGTCCCATTTTTATTGATTTTTCATCCACCTGAAATATATGAGCACCTGTTTAGCAGACAGACGAGGAGAGAGATGGAGTACTACTGAGTACAACTGTCAGTAGAATTAATCTATTTATAATCTAATTATAATATATAAATCTATTTTGACAGTTTTTTTTTTAATTACATAAAAAATACTGTTCATACTGTACATATAGGGACTTGAATACACCTCTTTTTCAACATGTTTTTAATTTCTGTGTTTGAAATTAGAATAATTAAAATATTTTAACATCTTATTAATATAACTGCTTGTTTACACAGTTTGGGGTCAGTAAGGTGTATATATTTAATTTGATTATTTTTAACATATTGTTCTTTTGAACTTTCTATTAATAAATGAATCCTGAGAAAGGTGTCACTGTTTTCACAAAAATATAAAGCAGCACAATTGTTTTCAACACTGATAATAACCAGAAATGTTTCTTGAGCACCAAATCATCATATTAGAATCATTTCTGGATCATGTGATGCTGAAGACTTGAATAATGGCTACTGAAAATTCAGCTTTGCCATCACATGAATAAATACATTTTTATTTTAAAATGTATTCAAATTATTTGAAATTGTAAGAATATAATATTTCACAATATTAAAGTTTTTTTGATATATGTATGCATGTATGTATATTTATACACACACACACACGCATATATACAGTAGTCAACATTTGAAGTGGATCACACAAGAACAACGGGTATTGTTTTGGTTTTAGGACAACTTTAATGAAAGGATTTGACCGACTTCAAATGTTGACTACTGTATTTATATATATTTATATACACACACACATATGTATATATAGGTGAGCATAGGAGACTTTTTTTGTTTTTTGTTTTTTTTTCAAAAACGTTGACAAAAAAAATCTTACTGACCCCAAAATTTTAAACCGTAGTTTCCAAATCCAACATTATTTTCTCCTTCCTTCTGCAGTACCCAAGGATCCAAACCCTCACTGGCGCAGGGTCACGTGGAGTCATGACTGTGCTCTTCTGGCGTACGCTGACAGCACCGGTACGGTCCGAGTCTTTGACCTGATGGGCAGCGAGCTCTTCATTATACCACCGGTATGTCACTCATACTGTCCTTCTGTGTTTCTCACCTCCTGTCATTCTCTCTCTCTCACACTCTTACTCTACTGACGTTGGTTCCACTTTCCGCGCACAAACTTTTTTTGTGCACAGTAAGAACACTCTCTTCTATTTCAGTATAAGTGATAGCTGTGATGACTGGCTCCTAATGACTGAATTTCAGGCTTGTTTGCGTTGCCCTCTGGCTTTTTGCGCTGCTTGGCTCTTCTGAAGCACTGTTTGCCATTGGTGAGGGAGAAGACCAGGGCAGGTGTGTGACCCATTCTAACACAGATCTAGAGATCTACTCTTTGGCTGTATGTTAACCAGGGTGTCTATTGTCATAGATTCATTTTGTCAGGCGATTTGGACCTGGACAATGCTCCATATGAAGACTCCGTTTCCACAGAGGAAGAGATGGAGCAAAGAAAGGAGAGGGAAGCCAAGAAGAGACAGGAGCTCCTCAAGAAAGTGGACTTTAGCAGGTAGGCTCTCTCACATAGACACACAGTCATTGTAAATTGGGCAGATGTTAGTGATATGCCTGACTACATACTTGAAGGATCTGCTAGTCGGCTCGCTGCATGAACAGCTCTCTAGAGGAAACCCTCTTTAATTAGGCTGCATTTAAATCCTATTTAATGTTTATGTATATCACAATTTATAAAAATGTATAACAAATAATGTATTTTGCCAGCTTTTAGGAGTACAGGGTTTCAGATCCTTTCCCTCCTATAAAACAATATATTGTATGAGAGAAGTATTTTACAGGCATGTTGTTTCCACACATAATTAATAATTAAACAAAAAATGCCTCTTAATTTGTCACAGTATTAAATCAAAGTAAAATTCTTAAAATGCTACCTGGAAAATATTTGTTTATTTACATAGTATACTGTATGTATTTCACAATACAGTATATTGACAGTGTACATTGGGGCTGGGCGATATGACGATATTATTGTATATCGACTATGTCTCGTAAGTATCGCGATGTCGATGTCAAAAGTCAGGTAACAGACGATTATCGGAAAAAAATGACAAATGATAAACCTAGTAAGTTGCAAAAAATATTTTACATAGCCCCATAATCACCATACAGGTCTTTTTGCATGCAAGAATGAAATAATTTAGTAGTAGGGTTGGGAATCAAAAAGCTATTCCAATTTCGGAAATCAGATCAGATGCGTAAGTTCAGGAATCAAATTACTTCTAAAATTACATTTAGATTCCGCTTCTCGATTTCTGTATGTGCATTTATTGTTATTTTAAAACAAGAATTCAGCTGCAAGAAGACACAATAGAACTAATTTCTGCACATTTGCACGCTGGTTTCCGTGCTGTGTACACTCACACACTCTCTCTCTCTTACATGCGCACACACACACACACACTCTCTCTTACATGCGCACACACACACGCTCACACTCTCTCTCTCTCTTACACACACACACACACAAAGCGCACTCACAAAAGCCACCTCTTATATACGCGAACACTGGACTGAGCTCTCTTTCTCGCGTTCTTACACATTCGAATGGACAAATACACATAGAATTATATCAAAATATCCCATAAATACAATCGGTTATGTCTTAAGTGAACATAAAGAGTTAAGAAAGAAAACAAGGGTGTGTTGGATCCGTGCATTGACAGCAGCCACAGCCTCCAGTCATTAATGTTAATCAAAGAACAAAAGAAAAGAAAATCCCTCACTGATCTTGACTGAATCACTTTTGTAACCTCAGTTTATATTTTATTTGCCTGTTGTTCGGTGCTGACTACTGTAATGGCAACATGCATCTGTGTATGCAATTATTTTGGAGAAGCGTTCCAATATAATTTATCCTTATTTAGGGTATAGGCCTATTCTATTTTGATCTGCAGTTTAATAAAAGTTAAACAGATAAAAAGACAAAAAGTAGCACTGCATGTGTTTCTGAATATTTATTTAAACAGACTGTATAATGATGAAAAACCACAAACATGACAGGTATAATTAAAATACGCAAATTCCTTCAGCGCACATTTCAGTGCAATATTTTTACAGATTTTTTAAACCGTGTATACAATATAATTATTTAATTAAGCTGAGATATAGCACTATAAATTCTTAATTCATTTGCAACAAAACTATGAAGTTGTTGCCAACGGATGAAGACATTAGTAGGCTTCTCAGCTCGCCCCTCAACATGCACACGTTCGGAGTTTCGGCAGCCCAACACTGCATATTATTTTGTGGGCGCTGTATTTTGATTAATAAAATAAAAATTACAATACAAAAATGACATTTAAATTACCCTGCTTCTAAATAAATAAAGCAGTTATTTTATTTTGTTAAAAATGGACCAAAAGAGACCTCCGAACTAGTAGGCTAGTTTTTAATCCCTGCGTGATTTTAGTCATACATGATAAATATCAAATACATTATAGCTTGACTAAAAGTTTAAAAACAACGCTGCAATTGTTATCAAAGAAATTAAACTTGTACACAGGCGATAATTCCAAAAAGAGAAACATCGGAAAATATGAATATTTTATTCAAGACATTATTATATGACATCAACATGCATTTATCATTCTTACAATCACCGCCAGAATGTCCAACTTCACCATGATGAACTTAAAATTCTATTATTTTTCCTCAACAGTTCTCCTCACAAAACGAAATTCATTTCAAACACAAATTTGATAAGAGCAGAGTGGAAATTATTAGCAGCACCAAAATAACAGCAAAGGTAATATTTTCTGTTAGTTTAAGCACAAACTAAGAAAAGTAAAACCAAACTTTGTGGCAATAATTAAGACCAAGTGAACATGGTGCATGTCGGCAATGTTGTTTCAGTGGGGGCGGGGTGTGGTAGAGGTGGGGCTTAGGTAGACGATATTATCGGATACCGCGGTATTTTTAAAGGCGATTATCGATAAGATATTTTTGACATATCGCCCAGCCCTAGTGTACATTTTTTTTTCTGTCCATTATTTGAGTGAATTTAAATTTATAAACTTAGTTTGCAGATACATTTATTTGTGGATACATTTGTAAACTAATTAATGTATACATAAATTTTACTTTATAAACCAAAATTTTATAAACCAAAACAATACATTTTGTTCATACAGCACTTTTCACATACCTTTTGTTCTAAAGCGTCATGCATTGTAAATGTATTTCTAAAAATTGGGGTAAATAAATCTAAACTTATCATGTTATTTTTGACTTTCCAAAAATATATCCAAAACATATATTTTGTAAAACCCTTTTTGTCCTAAAATGTCCATATACTCTTGGTGGCCTCCTGGGGGTCCTCGGACCCTAGTTTAAAAACCCCTGCACTAGCACATAGTCACGTACTAACAGCCTCAAAACTCTAAATTTGATTTCATGGCATCTTTAAAAGTTGGACTATTTTTAACTTGACTTAATAACTATTGGAATTATCCTGAATAGTTTTACCATGCAATCTGCCCAAGAGCTAAAGCACAGCATGCTCTCAGCGCGCTAATTAAAGCACCACCGCTAAAATGTAGTGATAAAAAGAAAAAAATACAGATAAACTAGTCGACCTCACTTTTGCACTAGTTGGTTGTTGGACATGACCCACCACTAGTAGATGTTCTCAGAAAGTTCATCAGAAAGTTGAATTCAGTGGAAGAGATCTTGGAGACATCACAGATGGGAATGGAGAGAAGCGAGAGGAAGAGGTGCAGGATAAAATTAAAGCCGTTTATAGATTTATTTCTAATCTGCATAAGGTAATTTATGCCTCTGTTGTGCTTTACCCAAGAGGCCTTTAATGAAAGAGCCCTCGGTGAACACAAATTATGAACGCTCACACGCTCTATATGGAGGAAGATATAGACAAAAAAATCGTAGATTGGCTAACATTTCCTCTAAACACTGCACTAATCAAAACACACGTTTACACAGTTAAAATTGCCTAATTTTTCATAGCGTAATTCAGTTAAACACGTACACACACGCTCTCCATGCATAGCACACAGAACTGTATCTAATTTGCACTTAATTAATGTACGTTTCCGCCAGCGGTCTGACACCAGAGTGTGTGTTTGTATGTTTACTCCTTAGGCTGTTTGTTTGTGTGCGTGTTAATATGGCTGTTTATGAGTGCCTGTCTATATGATGCATGATGTCCTTTTTACTTAACTTAACTAACATCGAGGGGGAAATAGTGATTGACCGAGAGAAAACCAATGATAAAAGGAAAAATAGTGTCGAGATGAGCAAAAGAGATGATAAAGGAAATGAAGAAAGAAGATAAAGAGTGACCGAGAGAGAAAATAGACAAGCACATTAACATTGATAAAAAGAGAGAGCGACTCTAATGGTGTGTACTTCACGTTCAGCTGTGGTTATGCAATGGCAAAAAAGACAATCATCATTCTGTTAATTTCTTTTTAACTACGCCGCCATTATAGCAATGGGGTAGTATCGATCAGACTGCTGGGTTTAGTTGAAGGTGTATATGTGTGTGTGTTAGAGAGCAATAGAAAGTTCAGTGCTCTTCTCCTTTTTTCACCATCACAGCTAAACTGCATATTTTGATAGCGATTCCCCTTAACAATGTCTGCCTGTCAATCAGGCTTCAGTCTCACAGTGATTTTCTCCCAGTTGAAAATGACACTGCCTGCAGTTAATTCAGCTCCTTTCAAACTTACAGTATTTTTCAAGATCATCTCAGGCTTATGTGTGCTGCCTATTTTAAACCTTATTATATAAAATGAACCGGGGTCTGAGACCACGAGTGACAATGCTTCTATTTTGCATTTTAATACACTAATGAAGATAATAATGACACTTTATGAAGATGATTTTTTTTTGTTGTTAATTACTATGTAAAAATAAGTGTTATAAATGAATAATTTTCATCAGTTTGATCTCGTATGCAGTTATTTAGGTTTATTGGTCACAATGTAATTCTTTTGGTTTTTTCCCTGTTATGTTTCTGACTTGAATGTGTGTCATGTTGTAATAACGAATACCCGATTTGGAGGAATGGGTTTTCCAGGTGCACTTTGATTTTATTTATTTATTTTTTTTAATAAGCTGGAACATATCATGATAATTCTTTTGCCAGCAACAGAACCTGTTTGCAAACATGTTTGATGGCACCAGTAGAGCAGGAAATACACTTCATCAGACTGACTGTTCAGAATTCATTGTAATATTTACCTACACTCTAAAAAATGCTGGGTTGTTTCAACCCAATGTTGGGTCAAATATGGACTAACCCAACTGTTGGGTTAAATTTTGGTTACATTTTTAAATTAGCTTTTTAACCCAACAGTTGGGTTAGTCCATATTTGACCCAACATTGGGTTGAAACAACCCAGCATTTTTTAGAGTGTACTTGGCTGCAATTGGCAGTTTGTTTTTGAGAACAATTTACATGCTGATTTGGTCTTTTGGTTGCACCTTTGTTTGTCTCTCACACCATTTCTCCCACTTTATTTGGGCTTATTACACCTCCTCTAGCTCTCAAATTAAATTTAAATTCGCATTACAATGTCTGAAGTCAATTATATTTTTTATTACCAATTAAGCTTATGTTGCATATAAATCATAGATATTATCTTAAATTTGTGGCCAGAAAGACAGAAGAGCCCTAAACTGCTGAGTTTAAAGGGGCTCAGATGCAAAAATGCAGTGTTGCTTGAAATGAAATGACTCATTGCATCAGGTGCACCTTAGATTTTGATGTCAATTAGCATGCCATCTTGTTAATTGCTGTACTGATGTGGTGTTTAAAACTGTTTCTGTGATTAAAACCCTCCATTTGACTTTTTAATCCTTGTTTTGTTGGAAAATTTGTCCAAATTTTCAAAATGTTGTGTATTTAGTTAGGAATGTTAGCTTTTACTAATCAATCCCAACTGTTGGGTTAAATTTTGGTTACATTTTTAAATTAGCTTTTTAACCCAACAGTTGGGTTAGTCCATATTTGACCCAACATTGGGTTGAAACAACCCAGCATTTTTTAGAGTGTACTTGGCTGCAATTGGCAGTTTGTTTTTGAGAACAATTTACATGCTGATTTGGTCTTTTGGTTGCACCTTTGTTTGTCTCTCACACCATTTCTCCCACTTTATTTGGGCTTATTACACCTCCTCTAGCTCTCAAATTAAATTTAAATTCGCATTACAATGTCTGAAGTCAATTATATTTTTTATTACCAATTAAGCTTATGTTGCATATAAATCATAGATATTATCTTAAATTTGTGGCCAGAAAGACAGAAGAGCCCTAAACTGCTGAGTTTAAAGGGGCTCAGATGCAAAAATGCAGTGTTGCTTGAAATGAAATGACTCATTGCATCAGGTGCACCTTAGATTTTGATGTCAATTAGCATGCCATCTTGTTAATTGCTGTACTGATGTGGTGTTTAAAACTGTTTCTGTGATTAAAACCCTCCATTTGACTTTTTAATCCTTGTTTTGTTGGAAAATTTGTCCAAATTTTCAAAATGTTGTGTATTTAGTTAGGAATGTTAGCTTTTACTAATCAATTCATCTTTTTTTTTTTTCAAAACTAAATTTTTATCCTGCGACTAATCGATAGACTATTTATTTTCTCCTCCCTAAACGAGCCTGCTATGCAATCATTCCATTGACATGTACATTTTTAATGGTTATTATATATTTTTTTCTTCTTTTTTTTTTCAAGTTTGACCGTGTCAGTGTTTGGTATGTTGTGTTTTGGCACTTTTAAAGACAAGCGACCTTCATCACACAAGTTGTTAAGTGAACTGACAGCTGTGTGCCGATTCAGTGCACTTTTAAAATGCTTCTTCTACAGTCAGGCCATCCATAAACCCTTGACACGCCATTGAATTCTGCTTTAGTTTCATTTAATTCGGTACCTCTGGAATAGAATCGCTCTAGCGTGTGGAGGCCGGGCGACAGATGTGCGCTAAGCATCCACGAGCGAGTGTGTTTATGCATGGGCTATTCTTTCAATCTTCTTTTATCATGTTTGCATTGCGATAACATCATGCAGTTCAATATTCTCCCCCAGTCCAATGATCTGTGCGCGTGTGCGGGTCTCATTCGCATACAAGGGGAAGCTCAGGTTTCCGCAGTAATGCAGGGAGAATGAAATGAGATTGTAATTGCCTTCTGTGGATTCTCACGCTGACTGCTACACACGCACGCTCGCATGGGCATCCAGGCAATCAGGCAGCGGTCGCCTCACATTAGCCTGTCTTTGATGACCTAATCTGGGTCTATAATGGCTCACAACCCTTTCAGCACTGTTCTCCCTCTGTTTGGTCCCCTTTTTTACTTCAATCACAAATGGTCCCATTCATCTGTATTTCCTTGTAATGCCTTTCGTTATATCTGTAAGCCTCTACGCACATGCCTGTCAAATCCTCCACCCCTCCCCCAGAGTGTGTGAAGCTTTATTTCATTACACCGTTTTCATGGATATTAGCGGCGGCTCTCTGAAGTGGATGCAAGCTCCAGATAAGATTGTGTTTGCATGTTTAATCCTGTTGATCTTATGTTCTTCCAGACTGACTCTAGAGCAGAAGGAGCTCTGCAGAAGTAGACTGAAGCTTCTCTGCTATCTGGACCGCTTGGCCACTTATGAGGTAACATTTTCCAAAAAACTGTACTTTTGTATTCAATAAAGATTTAAACTTCCAGAATTTGGCTTTAAAAGGAACCAAATTGGGTTTAAAAAGGATATATCATAGAGAAAAGGATTTTTTTTTGCTCTTATTCCCCAGTCCAAATAGACCATTTCTGAAAACTAAGCTGGTAGCACTTTATACCTGAATTTACATTTCATATCTACCCTTTACTTCAAAATTAACACTTATTGCTCTGATCTCTCTAGTATGCTTTTTTTTCTCTCTTCAAAACTCTGTGGCAACACACGCTGCAAAAAAGGACTTCCTAATGAGTTTTTAATTATTTTTTTGGGACTTGTTTTTTAGGAGAAAATATAAAAAAAATCTGTAGAACAAAATAAATTGACTTGAGAACCACTGCATAAGATAGACGTTTTGAATATAATTGTATTTTATTATAATGCACTGGTGACTTCACCTTTTCTCTGTGTTTTATTAACATTAAAGGAATAGTTCACCCAAAAATGAAAATTGTCATAATTTGTTCACTCTCAAGTTGTTTTAAACCTGATTGAGTTTCTTTCTTTTGTTGAACATAAAAGTTATTTTGAAGAATTCAAAGACCAGCCACTGTTTGGTTACCCACATTCTTCAAAATATCTTCTTTTGTTGTATAGCACAAGAAAGAAATTAATACAGGTTTGGGACAACATGAGAGTGAGTAAATAATTTACATTTTTGGGTGAACTCTTCAATGACAAGCAGCAGCATGGTTAGTAGTATTAGTCTGATGTCACTTTAAGACCTGCACACATCTAATATACAAGCACACAGCCGTTTTTGTCTTTACTTTCATTTTAGACATAACCAACTGTGTTTATTTGTAAACCTTCGCAATCAGACGCGAAAGATAACTTAGTCCAGTAATCAGGCGCTGTTTGACAGGATTTTTAGTGTACGCGCTCTTCAGGTGTATGCACTTAGAAAAAGTGCATGTCAGAACAGCATGCGAATTGAATGTTTAACCGGTAAGGCTTTAAAGCACATGCAAACAATGTACTTTTGTGATTGCAAGTAAGTGCAGTGTCCCATGAGTGTAACTCTACTGCTGAGTAACATTTGATGTGAATGTAGCCTATGTTGCGTTGTGTGTGTGTGTATATATATATATATATATATATATGTGTGTGTGTGTGTATATATATATATATATATGTATGTATGTATATATGTTTCCAGTCTGGATAAATATTTATGTTCAGTAAATTTTCTCAATTTACCCACTTTTGGCAGATAGTTCGTTTTAGACTGTTAGCACCTATTTAGTATTCAGCTGCTGTCATTCCAATCCCTTGATGTGATTTATGCTTGTATGTGAAGGTTAGCCAATTATAACCAAGGTAATTTCCATACAGAAGTCTTAAAGGCACAGTAGCAACAACAGCCTGCTTATTTCTACATGACAACTATTTTATTGCAGAAAAGGTTGGTCAATTACAAATTGATAATAAAATGATACAAACCACCTTCTGAAGTAACTTTGATCATCCTGAAACTATAAACCCACAGTAAATGGTGTGACTTGGATAATAATCTTCAATAATCTTATTCATTTTATCTTACCATTTTATGAATAAATTGATGTGTGAGCGACTTCATATCGTAATGCTTTTTTTCAATTTGAAAGTCATCAGCAGAAGAGTGTCGTCGTTTCATCCTGTCGCATAGTTAATGTCCTGCTCAGATTGTGATGGATGGCCTTTGTCAGTGTCTTCTTCATCTGTAATTGATTTCAATGGGAATAGTTCTGAATGTAACCAGGCCTCTGAGACATTAAACACACACGTGCACACACATACACACGGTGGCCATGTTGACTTAAAGGCTGTAATTGTAAATGTCAAAGCGATAAATGTCAGCAGTGTGCACTGGGAGAATTTACCTCAGGCGTATACGTGCGAGACCCTCTCCTGAACTCTCATGTTTGTTCTGCTTTCTTTCTCTGTCTTTTATCCTTCTTTTTTTCGTCATTCTTTCATTTTCTGCAGGAGATTCTGGGTGGACCTCATGCGGCAGAGCAGCAATTTGATGCTGAGTTTTTCAAGAAGTTCCGCAATCAGAATATTGTTCTGTCAGCAAGAACGTATGCAAGGGTAAATCTCTCTTCCTTTGTTCTCCGTCCATGACGCGGGCATCTGTAACGGGGTCCCGCGGCGTGAGTTATAGTCACCATTTCACAGTTTTGTGGATAAGTGTGTGCGCCCTTGCTAGCGTGTGGAATAAAATATAGATTCCCCATATATTCTGTGAGTATTTTAAAGTGTAGATGTCTGAAATATGGTCACCTGCCCAATGCAAAGGCTTCTGGGGGTTTGTAATGTGGGAAATATTGCTGCGGAGTATAAAGCTGTCCGTAGTTAGTTCTGTTTCATAAATCGTCTATTAATTATTTATCTCTATCAATCTTGTTCCTCTCGCCTCGTCTCTTTCCCTCCCAGGAGAGTAACGTGCAGGCGTTGGACATTCTCCTCACTTACCACGGCTCTGAGCTGCTCCAGCATCGGCTTGCCATTCTCTGCAATTTCCCAGAAACCACCTCTCCTCACGAGTACTCTGACCTTCTGCCTAAGGCAGGGTAAGAATTACTTATTGGAAGATGCCGATCTACTGTGAACAGGATAAACAAAACCCACATAAATCTTTTTGAAAGAGCCTAACGGGAAAAGGTCATTTTTAGATGACAGGTCCACTGAAAGAGGTTATTAGGTACTGTCTGCTGTATGACTGAATGAGGTGCTAGTTTAAACAGGTTGGTTATGTAAATGAGACATTTTGCAGTGCACCTTTTTTCATCTGCGCTTTAGTCTTTGAGACCTTAAGATTATGAAATAACTGCAGGCTGTGAAGTAACCTGCAGGCTCGGGGCCAGAAATACTAAAAATAAACACTGAAGGAATATGTACACATCTGTTGAAAAGTTTAGGGTCGGTAAGAATTTTATGGTAAGTTTCTTATAATCAACAAGGCTGCATGTATTTCAGAATTGATAAAAAAAACATGCAGAATAGATACACAGTAATATTGTGAAATAATATTACAATTTAAAATAGCTGTTTTCCAATTTATTATATTTTAAAATGCAATTTATTTCTCTGATGGCAAAGCTGAATTTTCACTGGAGTCTTCAGAGTCACATGACCCTTCAGAAATGATTGTAATATTTTGATTTGGTGCTTAAGAAACAGTTCTTATTTTATTATCTTAAAGGGGTCATATGACGTTGCTAAAAATAACATTATTTTGTGTATTTGGTGAAATGAAATGTGTTTATGAGGTTTAAGGTTAAAAAACACATTATTTTCCACATACTGTACATTATTGTTTCTCCTCTATGCCCCGCCTTTCTGAAACGCGTCGATTTTTACAAAGCTCATCGGTCTGAAAAGCGAAGTGTACGCTGATTGGCCAGCTATCCAGTGCGTTGTGATTGGCCGAATACCTCAAGCGTGTGACGGAAATGTTACGCCTCTCACATACTGTTGATGCCGTGTCCGGCCGGAGCGACGAGACAAAAACATTAAAACCCATTATAAACGAGGCATTTGTTGCATCCAGTGGGGACATAATTACGGATTATAATAACTTATACTGTCTTTTTACGCGTTGCGTCGCGTAAAAATAAAACCCATGTCTGCATTTGTGATCGGAGAAATGACAAACAACAAGCGCTATTCTAAACTGCTCAAAACTCGCGTTTGAATCGTCAGTGGCAAATTCTTTAAATATGAAAACGTACTTACAGGCTGTGAGTCAGAACAGCCGGCATTGTAGTCTACTCTACCAGGATCAGGAAACAGTCCTCCATAAAATGTGCTGCACATATCTGAATATTTGGGTTGAAGTGTTCTGGAACAGTGTTGTAAATACAACTTAACCACTGATTTCTAGTCATGTCCTCTTTTGGTATGCCAAACAAAGTATTTTCGCTTTCGCAACGAAACAGCGTCTTCACAACAGCAACAATAACAATTTGGGGAAGGCCTAATGGTTAGAGAGTCAGACTCGTAACCCAAAGGTTGCGGGTTCGAGTCGCGTACCGGCAGGGATTGTAGGTGGGGGGAGTGAATGTACAGCGCTCTCTCCCACCTTCAATACCACGACAGAGGTGCCCTTGAGCAAGGCACCGAACCCCCAACTGCTCCCCGGGCGCCGCAGCAAAAAATGGCTGCCCATTGCTCCGGGTGTGTGTTCACGGTGTGTGTTCACTGCTGTGTGTGTGCACTTTGGATGGGATAAATGCAGATCACTAATTCAGAGTATGGGTCACCATACTTCGCCACATGTCACGTCACTTTTTTAAAGTTACGCTGCCTTTTTTTGCGTGAACATTTGGGCGGCATTATGCAAATCTTGCCACATTGTGACGTAGATGTTGGGGATGTGTTTTAGGAGGGCGTGGACCAGTCTTAACTTTTACAAAGAATATCTCTTTGGGTTTGAGACTTTAGTCTTTGCAACTTTAGGGATCTTATCTATTCACGAACAGCTTGTAATACTCCAAAGAGAAAGGAAAACTTGAAATCGCATCATATGACTTTTATCTTATTTTTGTGAAACCGTGATGATTTTTTAAAAAAAGGACTAACCTTTGATTAATTTAACACATACTTGCTAAATAAAAGTGTTCATTTAAAATAAAAAAACCTGCAACTTTTGAACGGTAGTGCGTATGACTATGACAAAGTTAATACATCAAATGTGTGATTAAATGTTTTTTTTGTATTTAATTTTTAATTCTAAGTTTAACATTAACATTTATTCAGCTTGATGTTTTAATTTTCTGTATTATGTATAGTGTACTAAAATAAAATAATTAATTGAACTGACATACATACACAAAAGCCCCCCATTTATCAGTAAATGATGATGAAAGACACTCTTTATGGGTAAGTTAATAATAAATCAAACCTAGATGGGGCATTTAATAAAAGCAATGTGCATTCTTTGTTTAATTTAATTATCATCAAATGTGACCTACAAGTGAAATACTGTCAGTCCTTGCAACATAAATGTAAACACCAGTATAATACTGCAGTTCAGCAACAAAAACTATTTCAAGTCCATAAAGTGTGGGGAAAATTGATTTATTATGTATTATTGCTTATTTAACTCCAGTTTCTTGTTTGCATTTCCAGTATGTTTCATATATTGACAGACAGAATTTTTCCTGGTTGAGTTTTCCGTTTTCAGCTCCTTCAGAATGAAAGATTTATAGCAATATCCTGAAGTGAGGAGGTGATTAAAGTCAGGGACTAGCCTACATCTTCAGGACAGAGATATCTGAGCTTTCTCCCTCCGGAAGACCTCAGATATGCGAGTCTAGTACAATGTGTAACTGAGCCATTATATTTAAGAGCAGACACATCTTGAGCTCAGACGTCTTAAATGTCAAACATCAGATATCCCAAGACAGTCGCTGAGATTGAATCACTGGACCTCTCTGTTACCAGCAACCACCTAGGTGACCAGCAAGTTCATCCCGACACTTTTATTTTTGTGCTGCCCCACTGCTTTCAGTGCCATTTGTTCTTTCTCTGAAACGGGGAAAAAGCGGTTTAATTTAGAAACTCTGTTAAGCTTAATGTGTATTTCATGAGCAATTTATCACGTGTGGCAGACATCTGTATGTAACGTCCGTAGTATTACATGAATGATTTGTCATAATTACTTTCAACAGCATGTTTTGAGAGCCGTCTTAAAAATAGACTTCAGTTTAGCCTTAATTTCCATTTCACCTCATAGTTGAGCTAGAAGAAATTAGATTTTACAGATTTGAAAGTGCTAATATGGTGAACGCTTTTGTGGCGTCGGTTAAGACATCCTTAGGGATTTCACACAGATCTTGTTCGCCGATGACACACAATTGTGCCGTCTCTTTTGATACCCTCAGAACTCAGACATGAAAGACTGATGTAATTGCTCGCTCGAAATATATATACACGAAAAGTATCAAAACAGAGGAAACAGGCAATAGCTTCTATAGCTGCGTTTACACTGAGATGAGAACTTGGTAAGAGCTTGTGCTGCTCTGTTTTGTACATATTGCAATCTAGCAATGTTTTTTGTTAGGTAGGTGGTTAAACACGCTTTGTTGTATGTGTGTATGGGAGTGCACTGATTTAGTGGACAGGTTTGTGTGTTAAGAGAGAGAGACACAGAGTAAGGGCATTTGCAACACCCCTAATGTTCCAGTAATGGAGGTGAGAGAATAGATTTAGTGTATTGGATTCGGTCACCCTCCTTCCGCCCATTCTCTCTTATGGAGGTCAGTCGCCTCTGCAGTGAACATCCATCACAGCTCAGCAGCTGGAGGCCGGCTTCCTACTCTCCCCAGGCTGTGAGCGCTAACAGCACTGCTGCAGGACTCTCGCCGTACCAGTAGTCTCTCGCCATCTGCCGTCTCTGCTGGAAAAAAACAGCCAAATTCTTTTAGACTTTAGGGTTAGATTTGTGTATATGTGAAGTAGTGATAGAATTTAACATTCTAGTTAATTTAATATAATCCTATTAAGATTAGAATATTATAATATTTATTGAACAAATGTATTAAACTAAACAAATTTTACATTTCACAGTAATTTAAAATTTGCATTTTGATTTTCAGTTTTTGGCCCACTGGTCACAAATTTTTCGTGTTTTGTTCAAGTATTTTATTTGTTTTGTTTTAGGCCTCAGATCAGGGGCCGGTTGCACCAGCTGTACATAAGTTACAACTTAGCCTAGTTTTGACTCAGTTACATTGGAGCCAGATACATTAACTCTGATGACTAAACCATTTTGTCATCTCTAAAATGTGTTTTTTTTTTCAGTGTAACTTCTAAATCAGCTTGTTATTTCTGACATTTTAGTTTGAGAGTGTTTTTGTGAAACTACTTTAGAGTTGGTCCTCAACAGGCTTTAAAATTTTTAAGTGCCTTTAAAAGGACACCAAGAATTGTGGTTGGTTGCTTAGTTTGTTAGCTAGTTATTTAGTTTGTTAGTTGAAGTTTTTTTTATTTTTATTTTTATTTCATTTGTTTTTTGACACAACAAAAATTTACTCAAATTGTGGTTAGTAAGTTAGGTTATTTGTGCGTTAGTTATTACCTTAATGTTTTAATTGTTTTTGAAAGGACACCAATAATTTTAGTTAGTTAGTGGCTTCTTTTGTTCTATTGTTTGTTGGTTGGTTAGTTAGTTAGTGGCTTTCTGTTTCAGTTGTCTTTGAAAGGACATTGGTAATTTTAGTTAGTGGCTTATTTTTGATCTGCTTAAGTTTCAGTTTTCTTTGAAAAGACACCAAAGTTGTGGTTAATTGGTTTGTTAAGTTGTTTGTTTGTTGATCAGTTAGTTTGTTGGTTGATTACTTAGTTATGGGCTTCTTCTTTCAGTTGTCTTTGAAAGGACACCGATAGTTTTACTTAATTCATTAGTGGTTTGTTTTGATCTATTGAAGTTTCCATTGTCCTCGGAAAATCACCAAAAAAAAAAAGTGGTTAGTTTTTATTTATTTATTTTTTTTTTAAGTCAGGTTGTTTGTTGGTTGGTTAGTTAGTTAGTGGCTTGATATTTCAGTTGTCTTCAAAAAGTCACCATTAATTGTGGTTAGTGTCCAGAATTTTCTATTTTGACCAAGAATTTTTCATCTTTGTGCTTCATTATTGATTGCATAAACCTTTCTTAGTTACTGATAACAATCTGTGGTTGGTTAATTTTTTTGTTCTTATGTTCTTTCTTTCTTTCTTTCTTTCTTACTTTCTTTCTTTCTTCCTAGGGTGGATAAGAAGGGTCATTTGGCTTTCATTCCTTGGGAGGAGAGCCGACACAGAGATCTGGACTGGTGTGAAGTTCCTGAGTGCAGGTAAGATCACATTGGTGCTTGTGGTGGTTGAAATCTCTGTTTATCACTGACGACTGTGTGTGTTCTTTTCTTTAGAGGAGTGGTGGAGCCCAACCCAGTGGATGACTGTCACTTCTTATTTGAGGAGCAACCAGAACTAGAGAGATTTCGTAGCGCTAAACCCTCCATCACACTGCTGACTGAATGGTACCTGACCAGGGCACAGGACATAGAGAGTAATTCCCGCCAGGTACACAAGTGCACATGCTGACAGAAGCTGACACTCAAACACGTATCAAAGCACACCGTTTTCTTTTGCACTTTTGCTTGACTGACACCTTACCTGGCTGAAAAACAAACAACCTCCTCAGATACACATACAGATGCACATCTGACTCACAGAAGATTTGCTTCCTTCCAGAGTGACAGTTACTGCTGTCCCAGAGGGCTGTTAGTGTTGTGGATCAAATGTGGAACTAGATAACACTGTATCTGTCCACTGTGGGCGCTCCTAATGGAGAGATATCTGAACCATTATTAGACCAGACTGAGCTTCTGAACCCCTCTGTCTGTTTCTTTTCTTCCTTCTGTCTTTTTCTTTTGTCTGTCTTTTTCGGTCTGTCTTTCTTTCTTTCTTTCTTACTTTAATGCTTTTTAAAGATACATTTCTCTAAAAGAACAGCTCTAAAAAAAACCCTGATTTTCCACAATTTGGCAAATGCTTTTTATTTTACTAAAAGCTGCAATTACAGTGGGGTCCAAAATTGTGAGAACCCGATTCAATGTTTTTAATTTGCTTTCTTCTGATTTAGTACTTTTTTTTTTTTGTCATTATAAATTATACAAAAAACAAAAAGAAAAATGTACTTAATCTTTCTTGTGCAAGTTTTTGCACACATATTTTAAAGTAAATTTAAGTATAGAATTAAGTTATAGTAATTTCTATTTAATCATTTGAAGTTTACTCTGCAATACTCAAGTACATTTTACTCAATCATTGTTTGTAAACTATACTCTCAACAATGTAGCACTGAAAAAAGCCATACTGTTAAAGCATAAGGTTTACTTGGAAACATCTAAGTAAACAAGGCAGTAGACAGCTTGTTACACTTTCTAAGATAGTATGTCTACACAATATAGTTAATACCTAACTGAACACAGAGACCTCAATACTTGGTACACAATATACAATGACAGTAACAATCCGTGGCTAGTGTTTGTGTATGAATGGGTCATTTTGAGTAGAAAATGAACCCCAGATGTCACAAAACAGCAAGTTACTAAACCTAATAGCAAAAGCCACCATAAAATAGTGTAAATACAACTCAAAAACACCATTTGTAAGCATAACAAACAATTCCAAGCAAAATATACTTATAAGTTCAAACTTTAATTTCTACAAGCTTGATTTGAGTACTGATAAAAAAAAAATAAAAAAAAATTTATTCTGGCCTCAACTAAATTATTTAATGTAGAAATTACATTTATTTTTCCATAGTATTTACTTCACCACAGAATCATTTTTATCAGTGTATTTTAAGCATAAGATTTTGAGTGCAGTTAAATTGAAAAGTGACCATGCATTTCATAATATCTTAGTTTGTGTTCTCTTTTGCTTTAATGACAGCTTGTCCTTTGCTATGTGTTCATAAGCACTTTCTACTGTATTATGTGCTTATATTTGACAAAAGTCATCTATTGAGCAATATTTTAAATAATATTTTCTAAGTTTGAAAGTCATTGGAGCCTAGATGTTTTGGCAGTAATCCCACCTGAAGAACTTAAGTTGTTCCAAATAAAGTCTTATTTAAAGGAAACATTTTTGGTCTTCGGCCTGTATGTCCATAATTTTCTTTTTTAGGACAAGAATTTGAGTTTAGCTGTTTGACTAGTCTCAAACATTTTGTCCTCACTGAATATGACCATTATGACAACTGCTATCACTCAACTGTAGACGCAGCCTTGTTTCAGGAAGTGCTGCAGAGCAGAAGAGACATCACTCTGTCAGGACAGAGGTTAAAGCAAGGAGAAAGGGCTGCTCTGAGAGAGCTTGACATGTGAAGTGAGGGAAGGAGGACAGGCGGCGCCTGGGAGCAGATTGAAAAAAAAAGGAAAAAGAAATCTATTGTAATAAAAGGGTGTGAGATCTGTTCATCTGAGCTCTGCCTGCCTTTTTTGTCCTCACTGAATATGACCATTATGACAACTGCTATCACTCAACTGTAGACGCAGCCTTGTTTCAGGAAGTGCTGCAGAGCAGAAGAGACATCACTCTGTCAGGACAGAGGTTAAAGCAAGGAGAAAGGGCTGCTCTGAGAGAGCTTGACATGTGAAGTGAGGGAAGGAGGACAGGCGGTGCCTGGGAGCAGATTGAAAAAAAAAGGAAAAAGAAATCTAGTGTAATAAAAGGGTGTGAGATCTGTTCATCTGAGCTCTGCCTGCCTGTTTGGTGGACGTTTGTGCATGTAGAGATCAATACTTTGTTCAACCAAAGCCAGGTGTGCATAAACAAATGTGTGCTGTTTGCAATCATTTGTTTGTAAGGCAAATACACGTACTGGTTGTAATCCTGATTTAGTATTCTGTTAAGCAGCATTGCTCGTAATAGGAGTGTTGTATCATGTTGTTGTGAAGGCAGCATTGCTCCGGAGGTGTTTGGCTCTTGTTAACTTGTTAACTTAATCAATGTCAAGTGTTTCGGTTCCTACCAGGTGAGAAAACAGCAGCAATCATTTCCTCTATGCAGGCATCCACTATTGATTGGCTCCATGCTCTGCCTGTCAACTGGTAGAGGAATGCCAATCGTCAGCTCATGATTTGAACTGTATTGATGGGCTGCTGAGGCGCTTTGGATTTCATCGACTGGTTCTACTTTTTACGCATCTGTTAGGGGATTTTTACTTGTAGCATTCTTTCTTTTATTCATTCCAGACTAACCCATAGTTTTCTGTTGGTGGGTGGTAATAGCAGTGTTGTATCATGTTGTTGTGAAGGCAGCATTGCTCCGGAGGTGTTTGGCTCTTGTTAACTTGTTAACTTAATCAATGTCAAGGGTTTCGGTTCCTACCAGGTGAGAAAACAGCAGCAATCATTTCCTCTATGCAGGCATCCACTATTGATTGGCTCCATGCTCTGCCTGTCAACTGGTAGAGGAATGCCAATCGTCTGCTCATGATTTGAACTGTATTGATGGGCTGCTGAGGCGCTTTGGATTTCATCGACTGGTTCTACTTTTTACGCATCTGTTAGGGGATTTTTACTTGTAGCATTCTTTCTTTTATTCATTCCAGACTAACCCATAGTTTTCTGTTGGTGGGTGAAGATCCTCCTTTATGTTCTTTATGCCAGAATCCATTATCTTTGACTCATATTTTGATGGATAGTAATAGTTTAAAGTCTGTCAGAACTCATTATTTTTCTGTTGACTTTTATGGAAAGATTTTTAATGAAGTAAGGCCAGATTTAGTTTTAGAATTTTTATCTACGGTCAAATTAAAAAACTTAAATTAACTAACCTCGTTCTCGCCATGAATATAGCCGAGGTAGCTCGCATGGCATTAAATCATAAACAAACAAACATACTTTCTTTTATTTGTCAGTCTTATTTTTGCATCTCTGTTTGATGTGATCTGACAGTTTTCATAGATTTTCACTAAAAGATTTTACCCACTCTTTTAATGGATTTCTGTGTTTTTTTTCAAAGACGCCAGCAGTGTGTTCATCATTAAATGATGGTGAAAGATCTTTTTAATGGCAAATTTTTTCCTCATAATTATTCTCACATGAGTTTATTTATAAAAATGAAGTAAAATGTCAAAATAAATTTAATTAAAGTAGAATGATGCTAGCCATTTGAACTGAAACTAAAATTAAAATCACAAAAAATATATTTGTTGCTTGAAATTAAATGCAAAACATTTTCTAATTTTAATTTAGTTTAATTTGATGTAATAAAATTACAAAAATGAAAATGAAAATAATAAATGAATAAAAACAATATAGACATAAAAAAAACTAAAACCACTCAAATTGACAAAATCTTTAAAAATGAAAAATGATCAAATAAAAACTGATTCAAAATATTAATACAAATATTTAAGAAAATATGAATTTGTATTAATTCATTTTTTTACTTCACTCATATTTATGTTGTGCATCTCTATTAGATTGCTTATGCTTTTGATTGGTCCACACAGGTTGATTGTGCCCTGTCTCTGGTGCGTTTGGGAAAAGAGCAGAACATTCCTGGGCTGGAGGTGCTGTGCGACGACCTGGTTACCATGGAGACACTGGTGTACGAGACGTCATGTGACCTGAGTCTCACACTAAAGGAGCTGCAGCAGCTCAGGGACATTGACAAGCTCCGCCTTCTCATGAAAAATGTATGTTTTGAGGCTGTGCTCTCTTTGTTTTGCTGTCTACAGCCTCCTTCACTTGTATTATTATGTTCACATTTATCACTGCAGACTATATGTAGTACTGACATAGTATAATGTTTGATTCTTGTCTGAAGTGTCAATAGCTGCACTTTAAACACCTCATATCACCCGTTTCGAGGCTCAGCAGTCATACAAACTGTATATTTAAGCAGCTCTTTCCATTGAGGAGCACTAGAGACAATGAGAGATTCTGTGAGAGTGTGTGTAGATTTGTGTTTACAGGGGTGGTCTCATTACGACTGCAATAAGCACATCCAGCGGGCTTGTTTGGATTTAATGCTTTCATTAAAAATGATTTAATACTCATTTGCTCGTTTAAGGAGAAATGCTGTGAGTGGGTGAATCGCCATCTTCGCGTCTGTTTACTAGTGATACTTTTAATGTTTTCTGAGGGAACACTTAATTCAATCAGTAATGAACATTCTGTCAGCTTTTACTCACCCTCGTGTTGTTCTGTGGAACATAAAAGGAGATAAAAACCACTTCAGAAAGGATCTGAATGATTTCTTCATGCAAAAGGACACTCTTTTTGAAGCTTGATACTCCTGTCGTCTTTATTGAAATTGGAAAAACAGAAACCAGTACGTTCTTCAGAACTACTCGTTTTGTGTTTATTAATGAAAGAAAATCATGCGGGTTTGGGACGACATGAACTGTTTCCTTTAAAACGTCTGTATTGTGTTTCTGCCTAAAATATTGTGAGTGAACCGAAGACGCTGTCATTTACCCATTTCATGACTGCTTTCTGTTTTAGTCCAGTGAGGATCGATATGTGAGGAATTCATTCCAGTGGATGGTCCCGTTTCTGCACCGCTGTGAGGGACAGCGGGTGGGCTCTGCCTCTGCTCTGCTCAGAGAATATCTGGTCACCCTCGCCAAAGATGATCTTACACTCCCACTCAAAATGTTCCAGCACTCAAAGCCAGATGTAAGCCAAACCACTTACATGTACTTCACTGTCCAAACAAAGGCAGTTTTATAAACGTTTAACTAAAGTTAACTAACTAACTAAAGTTTTTATGAATATATTATACAATAAATAAATGGATTTATTTCTTTACAATTACCCAATTTTTTATAATTTTATGTATAATATTTAATTTAAATGTATTATAAATGTTATTATATATCATTTGTATTTTTTATTATAAAGTATATTTTTTATCATCTATTATTATTTTCCAATTGTGGGTGTTCCTAGATTTCCCCAGAGTTTTTGTTAAATTTATCTCATAAATTTGGCCAATAAATCAACTCACAAACTTTGTCCTGAGGCCATACCATAATCCATGATACAATAATCATAAATGCTTCCTATTCCTAATAGACACATTTTGGACACTTTATTTTATTTAAGACATTTTTGTATGAGCTGTGAAGACACTTTCAGAAATTTGAACCTCACAAGCATAACAGAACAAGTACACAAGTCACATTATTGTGTACTGATCTGAATTACTGATTTAAAAGTTCAGTAGTGTGGCACTACTAAAGTTGTTGCTCCGTCATGATAAATTGCTTGTGCTTTTCCTCATTAATGAGTACATTTGGATAAAAGCAGCTACTAAATGAATAAATGTAAGTAATTTGAATGATATGACACACACTACTACACATACACTAATAAAAGAGGGATGCCATTCCAATTTTGAGTCCAAAGCCACAAAAGACATTCAGACACACACACACACACACACACACACACACACACACACACACACGCTGTCTTACAAGGCCATGATAACAATTTATGACCTGCTTATGACCTGCTTACACATCTGAGGCATCAATTTCCCTCACAGGAAATTAATAAAAGCGGTTGGAGAGAAATCAAGTGTATGAGATTGTACATGTGTGTTTGTGTTTTTTTTTGTGTGTTTGTGTGTGTCTGTGAATCAGCCTTGCACATTCAATGTTGTGTGAAATGAAATCCAATCTAATCCACACTAACATGATTTTTAGTGTGCTTGTGTGTGCATCTGTGCGTGAGTTACTATTGTCTGAGAGGAGATGCGATCAAATGGCTGAATATTAACACCATATGAAGGTCATACACAGTATATACAAAGCTATGTTCTGTTAAATAGGCATACAAATTGGTTGTTTCAAAACCTCCCTATACAGCATTTTTGGCATCATAAAGACATTCTAAAAAGCCAATGATCCTCATAATTGCTATATAGGGCAGTTCTTTACTAGGTTTTGCCAGTAATTTACACGTTACCAATTGTTATGTATTTTTTTACATTTTTTTTACTTGCAGTGTCATCCAAAAGTCATTGGAGATTCGGATCAGCTTATGTCCGTGGCATTAGAGTGTATCTACAGCTGTGAGAGAGATGACCAGCTTGCACTCTGCTACGATATACTTGAATGTCTACCACAGAGAGGATATGGGTGAGCTCACACAACTGGGAACACATTTTTTTGATTCAGTCTTTCACTCAAAATTGTGATGGTAATTTTCTACACTACTATTTAAATATTTGGGGTCTGTAAATTGTTGTTTTCATTTGCAAGAAATTGCAAGGATGCATTAAATTGATCCAATTACAGGTGCATCTCAATAAATTAGAATGTCATGGAAAAGTTAATAGTAGCTGTTGATGCCTTGACCCCAGCCTCAGTCCATTCCTTGTGAAGTTCACTCAAATTCTTGAATCGATTTTGCTTGACAGTCCTCATAAGGCTGAGGTTCTCTCGGTTGGTTGTGCATCTTTTTCTTCCACACTTTTTCCTTCCACTCAACTTTCTGTTAACATGCTTGGATAGTATACTAAACAGCCAGCTTCTTTGGCAGTGAATGTTTGTGGCTTACCCTCCTTGTGAAGGGTGTCAATGATTGTCTTCTGGACAACTGTCAGATCAGCAGTCTTCCCCATGATTGTGTAGCCTAGTGAACCAAACAGAGACCATTTTGAAGGCTCAGGAAACCTTTGCAGGTGTTTTGAGTTGATTAGCTGATTTGTATTGTCATTTTTTATGAAATATTTCATCAAATAATCTATTTATCAACCAATCCTGGAAAAAGCACTTCTGCAATTTCCATACAACCATTTTCAACTAATATTTATAAGAATTTTTTTTTTACTTAAGCACCAAATGAGCATGTTAGAATGATTTCTGAAGGATCATGTGACACTGAAGCAAAAAAATCTTTGCCTCACAGTAATAAATTAAATTTTTAAATATATCAAAACAGAAACATAGATATTTTACATTTGTAATATTTCACAACTTCAAGCAGCCAAATAAGAATCTTTTTTTTTTTCTTCAAAAACATTAAAAAAATCTTACTGACCTCATACTTTTAAATGGTTGTGCATATTTTTCTTTTGTTTAATTTTATTTACATTTTTATATGTTAATTTAAGTTTATTTTTATTATTATTATTTAAAATGATAAAAAAAAAAATGTGAGCAAAAAAATGTTTGGTGTCTTCATGCTATATTGCCCAACACTTTTGCTGCTTTTGGGGTGGGATACAGGTAATGATTGGGACTGGTTTTATGGTATGTTTAGGTTTCACCATGGGTTAAGGATTTTTATTTTTAAAATATAAGTACAATGTAAAACTTTCATGTTCACAATAAGAGCATTGTATCAAATGATTAGTTTAAATGTTAGTACATAGTAATTAAAGACACTTCATACAAAGTGGATCCAAAACTGGTCATTAGAACTGGCCCCTCAACTTCAAAACTTGTTCTGGCACTGCAGTCACAAAAGCCACACACACACAATTAGCACATGTGTGCACAGTTGTCAGTAAGCCCCTGATTAGCTCATTATTAGCACAGCGTGTGTCTTTCTGCCTTCAAAGTGTGAACCCTCAAAACCTCTCAGCGTTCCTTATTATATCCCTGCTGCCTTTAGATGTCTTGGAGACTGAGAGGCCTGTCACTCATCCGCATATTTTGATATTAAATATACATTTCTGCAGTCTTTGGACTGTAGAGGAAGTGTTAGCATTTGTGCAAAGGGTTGGTGTTTTTCTAGCACTTGATTTGTCTTGTGGGGCAACAAAATAACACATTTACGCTTAAAATAATGTGATATGTGAAATTTGGCATCAGTTATATCTAGGACTGCACGATAAGTTGCATGCAATATTTAATGCGCATCTTGTCAGTAAAGCCGGTTCTGTAATCAGCGGTAAATCTCCATCACGTGTGTGCGCACAGAACCGGCTTTACTGACAAGATGCGCATTAAATATTGCATGCGATTTATCGTGCAGCCCTAGTTATATCATGAGGGTTCTACATTGTTCTTCTAAAAACAATTTTGATACATTCTACAAATGCCATCTGCCTTTTTCTCATTCTCACTTTCAGTCAATCTGTTGCTGTAAAATCTCTCTGTACCTTTGCAAGACCCTAATGTGTTTTTACACTTCCATTGTTATCCTGGGATCAATGCTTTAGGGTTTTTCCAGAGCTGCGACAAAGAGACTACGACAAAACATGCAATGGTATTTTTAGTAAAATGTCGAAACTTGGAAAGTGCCTAGGGAAATATTGCAAACATATCAAGTCTAGTTTAGACCTAAGAAGTCTGAGTTTTGTCAGCAACAAGTTTTTTTTTTTTTTTTTTTTTTTTTTTGCAATTCAGACATTATCTCCATGGCAACCGGACCCTCAAGCAAAATTGCACATGGTTTCTACTCAAGTTCACATAAGGGGCACAGCTGAAAAAAAAATACACATGTAAACACAAACCTAAAAAAAGGATTATATTGTTCCATTTCAATGGCAGTTGTTCAGCTGCTAAAATATTGTCAGTAATTTAACTAAATATTTGCAGCTTACTTGTTTCTAGCAAGCAATTTAATTTAGTCAGAATATTCTGCTACTGTTGAATGGCTGTGTGTGAAGAAAGATGCTTTTTGGGTCCAGATAGTGTTGTTACAACATCTGCCAGCAGATTCTAACTGGACAATGCTAACTAGCTCACTTGCTATTGTAGTGCGTGTTGACCTTGTCTGGTGATCAAATAGAAAACAAGTATTTAGATCTGGTGACTTGTTAGATAATGGAAGGTTAAAATCTTGAAAGTGACTTTCGATAAATGCAGTCTGTGTGTGTTCAGATGGCTGATCTTTGATCTTGTTTGCTTCTCTCTCTTTCCCAGACCAGAGACAGACACTACAAAAGCCTTGCATGACCAGGTGGACACTCTTGAGAAACACTTGAGGTGAGAAGAGACCGAATGAGTCGAGTCAAGCCAAATGTATTTGTATTATTTGTGCTTTTTACAATACACATCGTTTCAAAGCTGCTTTATAGAAAGTCATACTGTCAGGTCTTTAATGCCTTAATGTTTTACCATAGAGCGGTTTTAGGGCTGGCGATATATTGCTATGGTATAAATTATCCTCTGAACTTAGATCTAGCTATAATTGCATTTATATGCATAGCAGATATGTCACTCTATGGTGTCTCTGACACATGACCGAGCGTTCAGTGTAATTAAAGTCTTTCATCATTTTCACTTGGTTGGTCAGGTTTTTAAATGTTTTCGAAAGAAGTCTCTTATGTTCACTAAAGCTACTAGTATTTGATGAAAAGAATACTAAAACAGTAATATTATGAAATAATGCTATCAAAATAAAATATTCTGTTTAATATTTTTTTTAAATGTATTTTTTTTCTGTGATGGCAAAGCTGAATTTTCAGCATCAATAACTATAGCCTTCAGCGTCACACAATTCTTTAGAAATCATTCTAATATACAGATTTGATACACAAGTAACATTTCTTATTATTAATGTTGAAAACAGTTACTGTTTTTTGGAAACTGTGTTTCATTCAGGATTCTTTGATGAATAGAACATTTAAAAGAACAGCATTTATTTGAAACAGAAATCTTTTGTAATATTTCAAATGTCTTTATTCTTACTTTTGATTAAATGAATGCCTCCTTGCTGAATAAAAATATGTATTTCATACTGGCCCCTTTTGCGTGGTAGTGTGTAGATTAATTTTATACATCGCTTATATTATTTTAAATATTTTATATCATGTATTATTTATTTTTTCAATATTATTTCTAATTTCTAAATTATTTATTAGTTTAATATAGCTTTATAAATTTAAATCTGTATTTCCTAGCCAACGTTATTAGTTCAAGAATGCCAGATGTGAATCAATATAAAAGGCGAGATATTCCATTTGACCTCAGGTTGATTTCATGCTTTTAAAAGGGGCCTTCATTTTGACTCTGAAACGCTGGATTCATCACTCAACTCTGAGCACAGTAGCTTATCAATTACATAACCAGTCTGTTTCAAACACCTCAAGACAGATTGGTCACATTACCTCATATTCCAGAGTAGGCTATATTTATTATTTATGTGTTTGAATTGGATTGCAAACTTTGCATATTAAGTCACAGAAATACATTGTAATCCTTTCTAGATGTCATTATTGTGATGCATGCATGTTTTCTGGTAGGGTCCTTCCATACATCTGCGAAGGGCCAGTCAAAGGACTTATTAGGGTCTTACAGCAACATGTTTATCTGAACTGCAGAATTATCAATATTAATCTGAATGTAGCGTTATGTTTATGTTTCTAACAGCACTTCAGCAATCAAAGCTAATGGAAATGAAAATCACTGTTGTGTCTAGCCAGTACTTGGATGTTTTGATTTGATCAGAGGTAGTACGTGACCTGAAAAGTTTGAGAGCCGCTGGTGTAGTCAGTATTCAGTGTGTAATGATGTAAGCTTCAGCACAGTGTCAAAAGACTTTCTCACATAACTACTGAGAATAGCTGTCATTGTGGGGAGCGAAAATGGAAAAATGGGACATTTTTGGTCTGCTCATGTCCATCATTACATCTCCCTCATGCAGCACATGAGAGAACAGAGGCATTTTACGCATTCATGCATATACTGTCTAAAACCTGCCGAAGTGTTCACTCATTTGCCATTCACTACGTAGACAACGTCAGTTAGTTTGCTAAATTTGGAAAGATGGAGTAGAAATTAGTGTATTCGGACACCGCTTGAGACCATTTTGCACACTTTTGTTGTGTTCCATATGCAATACTTCCTGAATGACAAAATAAACTACTTGAAATTCAACCTGGCTGACTGAGACACATTCCAAAAAAAATCAGATTGGATTCAGGATCTGATTTATAAGCACTGGCCTTTATTTATTCATTTATTTGTTTGTTTGTGCAGACTACAAGAAACCAAAACTGATTTTAGTCAGACAAACCAAAAAATTTGAGTTCTGCTGTGTTCTGTCTGAACAAAGCATGTTTGTATGTATGTTGTATGCTGCACCATGTTTGCATGTATTTCTGTGTTTTTGTCTTTGCGTCTGTTTGCGTGTGTGTCAATCTCAGTTCAGGTGACGTGATCAGCCTGTAATGGCTCCATAGAGACACATTCCTTTAGATCCATTAGAATTCTGTTGGAGGAAAGGATGATGAAAGTCTCTCTCTCAGATATTTATGACTGGCCTGGGAGGGCGCAGTCGCTGCAGCCTTAATTTCTCTTGTTTGCTCTCGAACTTATCATTCGTTTTTCTCAGTCTCTCAAGATTTACCCTTTCCCCTCTTTGTATCTGAATTGTGTCTTTGCCAGTGTTTTCTTTTATCCCCCTGCTCTCTGTTTGAATGATAAAGAGGGCATATCAAAACCGGATTATCTTTGCTGTTTTGAAATAAATCAATGTCGACATTCTCTAATGATCACAAGTAGACATTACAAAAAGTGGCTTTAGAAGACAATATGTTGATTGTTTTATTCACATGACATTGGACATTAACACGTTACTCTCCTGCAGTACACTGTTTATCACTGTAAATTTTGCATACATTTTATCACACACATATTGCAGTATTATATATATATAAATATAAATGTGTGTGTGAGATATTGTTAATATTGCATTATCATTTAACCAATATAAACATTAATGTGATTAACACTAGTCATTGCACTAGTAATGTTGTAAAGTAAAATAAAGCTTTCAAAAACAAAATACAATTACAAGGTAAAACGTTTTGCATGTTTAAGCAGCCATTTCAGGAGCAGGTCATGATCACTGGAAAAGACTTAAAGAGCTACACAGATGGAGAGAGGAGTTAAAAAGAGTGGGAAGAGAGAGAGAGAGGGAAGCACAAAAATATGTAAGTGAAACAGAAAAAAAAAATTCTGGCTCTAGCAGATTGTAGAGAGAAAGAATGAGACATGAGGGAAGGAGTGTGAGACGGGAAGAAAGGAAGGAAACCAAAAACATCTGTGCTAGATTGCTCCCAAGGGACAGTACATCCTCATTTATTGAGGGCATCTCAGCCAGACACGGCACCAGTTCAGCTCACTGAGGTTCATTCAGACACCTCTGTCTGTTGGCTCCTCTGAGCAGCTGTTAGCATATAGCTGTGGTTAGGGATGGCTTCTGATGTATGTTGCCACAGAGGTTTTTAACTGGTGGGTCGAAACTCATAATATGCACATAATAAAATCCTAAGAACAGTATAATTGTGCATATTTAGGATAGCAAAATAGTATTTGTGTATATCAAAGGTTATGCATCCAGTCATACTATTTTACTGTAAAATCATGTCACTTGGTAGTATCCAGTCAAATTCTGCCGTAGTAGTGACAGTAAAGTCTGTCACAGTAAACAGTAAAGTTACTGTTCTTAAATGCTGTTTATGGTTTCCACAAAAATATTGAGCAACACAACTGGCGTCAACATTGATATAATAAATGTTTCTTGAGGGCCATTTCTAAAGGTCAATGTGACGCTGCAGACTAAAGCAATGACTGCTAAAAATTCAGCTTTGCCATCACAGGAATAAATTACATTTTAAAATATATTACAAACTAAAAGTGTTCTTTGCTGTTGAACTTTTTCACAATGTTACTGTATTTATGATTAAATAAAGCAATCTTGGTGGGCACAAGAGACTTCTTTAGAAAACTTTACAAACTTTTGAACTGTGTAGTGTACAGAGAGAGACATGTATATTTGTACAGCATTGTTTTATAGGGCTTCGCAAAAACTGTAAGCCAGTTTTAACGGTTTAGGCACTTTTATTTACATTTCTGTGTCTCACTAGTGTTGCTGAGGTGTTGGAGAAACACAGTCTCCAGAAGCCCATCTCGTTCGTGAGGAACAGTCAGAACAGCAAAGAGGAAGCTCAACAGCTGATGGTCCGACTCACCCGTCACACAGGACGCAAGTATGACACACACTCACACACACACGCAGCCACCTTAGCATTTCCCACAGCACTTGTGTGCACCTGTCTTACTGTCTGTTGTTTGCTCAGAAACCCTCCTGTGAGTGAGACAGTGTGGAGAAGTTTACTTCAAGATCTCCTGGACATGCAGCAGAATGTTTATACCTGTCTAGAGACAGAAACTTGCCATCAGGTACAACACTTATATAATATAATATAATATAACAACGTTTGTAGTTCAGGAAGGAGGAGGTGGGAACCGGCGAACATTTAAACACTTTAATAAAATAAACAAACACAAAATGAAAGTAAAGCAGCAGCCCCTTGCGGACGACTGCCGCGTGCCTATGGACGAATCACACCCGTGCCGATATACAGCCATATCTCATGTCTACGAGTGAGATATTGCGTTTATACAGCAGTTTGACGGCATGAGTGTGTAAAGACATAAGAAACAACAACGGAGTGTCTTTTAAAGCCCTCTTTTGTGCAGAACTACTTTCTTCCGCCACGGATTCAGATCTCAGTGTGACATTTTAACAGCTGAGCCCAAGCCTCCGTTACTAATTCGAAAACATTACTTTAGATGAAGGAATGTTGAGTTGCTTCTTTAAAATCTTATTTTATTACTTTATTAAAAGCTCACTATTATTTAGAGTAGAGTATTATGAGACAGATGGACTGAGCTAGTGTGATTACCTGCATCTGATACAGCATTCATTCTTCAGCTCAGTCTCATATTCACAATAAAACATTAGTTTGAACGTCCGCTGAGGAAAGCGATATCTTTGTCGTACTATTCGTTCATCTGTTAAGGGTGATTTCTGATGACAGTGCTGATCAGTGCATTTGTTAACTGCGTCTTATCAGCTGTTATTAAAAGTAAAAATAACTTCTGTTTCAGTTTCTTTCAATGTAAAAGTCTTTACCGCTGACTGGTAAAACAGTCTCTTCAGTCACCATCTAATTACGGAACAATGTAACTAAAATCACCATCACGAACACACACACACACAATACTAAATACTACTATTATTTATATAAAATATTATTTATTGAATGATAAACGACAACAACAGCCATCATCAAGTTGCTAGTTAATTCAGTCAAAAGCACAAAGGCAGCGCTCTGATATAGCTACAGCATTAAATTTACATAAAATATAACGTGATGAGATTTTGCTCTCAGCCAAAACTATTTGCTCTGGAACAAATAATAGATTAATGAGACCATAGACTGTCCGTTAGATTTACCCAAAACAAATAATATCTCATGTTTAACCACTATAGAGACATCAAAGCCAGCGGCAAATTCCAGAAGATCTGGCCGAGGTGAGGCTGCTCTCGGCAGGTTCATGAGCGCTGAACGGCCGCTGACGCCCTGGAGCTCACATCTTGCACACCACATATTTGAATTTGAAACAAGTACATTATCGCCCAAAAAAACTCTTAAAACTACATTCTGTGACACAAAAACAGTATTATTTTTTAATTATAGTGGATTTGACCATCTGCCATGACACTCGCTGTGAGAAATACGGCAAACGGAGTGATATAAATGGTGAAACGGTTGGAGGAGTTCTGTTATCACTCTAAAATCGCACGCTTATCAGCCAATCAGATTCAAGGACCAGAAAGAACTGTTGTATATAATATAATATAATATAATATATATACTGTAGCATATTATATATGTTTTTTTGTAATTAATCTTACTGTTGTAACTTGTCTGGTTTGTCACAAAGCTGTTATGTTTTTCTGTACTTACTGCAGCATTTGTTTTTATTTTATCACTTTTTGTGTGTTTTGTAAAGTTCTTGTGATCTTTTCACTCTACTTTTCTCTAACCATTTCATTCTGCCTCACAGCGCCAACATTATCTATCTTCTCATTATCTTCTTTTGTATGTGTGTGTGAAAGAGTCTCAGGCTGCGCATTAGTCTGATGCCGACGGTGGGCTTTGTCTGTTTGCTCTGTAATTTAGCGGCATTCTCTAACGTGGCTGCGTTCTCATCACTATCGATTCCTTCATCACAATCAAGAGCAGAACAGCCGAACTGAACTTGCCGTCAGGTGTTCATTCTCAACTCTGAGCTGCTCACCCTGTGACCAGAAAGAAAGAAAGAAAGAAGAAAAAAAACACAATGACAAAAGAGAATTATCCTTCAACCTGTTCGAATTGCTCTTACCCAGTTTCTGTCAGTATGGGATCCTGCACTGTATTTTTCTCCAAGCTACTGAAAGACAATCCCAGACGAACAGTAAATTGAAAGTTCTGAGAGGAAAATGAAAGAACTTGATGTAGTTTTACGGAAATTGGCATTCTCACCATTTTCCCTCTGCGTCTGGGTCCATTTGACAGAGTGCTGCAGAGTTGCTTTGAAATCTCTTCAATAGCTAAACAACTAATGAATTTACACAAACCTCAGCAACCAGCTCTAAACTCTGCCTCACTTCTGTGGGTGTGCATTAGGAATGGCTCATTGGCTCGTAGACCGAGCATGAGTTGATATTTCATTTGTGCGGTGTTGGGAGTTAACCATGTTATGGTTATAGGTGCAATGTGCACTGCAGATATTGGATTCTCTAATGCAGACAGATTAAAGCACTTGCAGATTATATTTCTAAAGACCATATGAAACTCCAAGGGCCACGGTTAATGACATTCAGGTTTTGCAGCACACACATGCAGTAATCACACAGTGGTGGGGGAAGAATTGTTGATTTTTGAGTTCTCTCATCAGCTGTCTTAATATCTGTCCCCAGTAATGAGATTTTGCTCTCAGCCAAAACTATTTGCTCTGGAACAAATAATAGATTAATGAGACCATAGACTGTCCGTTAGATTTACCCAAAACAAATAATATCTCATGTTTAACCACTATAGAGACATCAAAGCCAGCGGCAAATTCCAGAAGATCTGGCCGAGGTGAGGCTGCTCTCGGCAGGTTCATGAGCGCTGAACGGCCGCTGACGCCCTGGAGCTCACATCTTGCACACCACATATTTGAATTTGAAACAAGTACATTATCGCCCAAAAAAACTCTTAAAACTACATTCTGTGACACAAAAACAGTATTATTTTTTAATTATAGTGGATTTGACCATCTGCCATGACACTCGCTGTGAGAAATACGGCAAACGGAGTGATATAAATGGTGAAACGGTTGGAGGAGTTCTGTTATCACTCTAAAATCGCACGCTTATCAGCCAATCAGATTCAAGGACCAGAAAGAACTGTTGTATATAATATAATATAATATAATATATATACTGTAGCATATTATATATGTTTTTTTGTAATTAATCTTACTGTTGTAACTTGTCTGGTTTGTCACAAAGCTGTTATGTTTTTCTGTACTTACTGCAGCATTTGTTTTTATTTTATCACTTTTTGTGTGTTTTGTAAAGTTCTTGTGATCTTTTCACTCTACTTTTCTCTAACCATTTCATTCTGCCTCACAGCGCCAACATTATCTATCTTCTCATTATCTTCTTTTGTATGTGTGTGTGAAAGAGTCTCAGGCTGCGCATTAGTCTGATGCCGACGGTGGGCTTTGTCTGTTTGCTCTGTAATTTAGCGGCATTCTCTAACGTGGCTGCGTTCTCATCACTATCGATTCCTTCATCACAATCAAGAGCAGAACAGCCGAACTGAACTTGCCGTCAGGTGTTCATTCTCAACTCTGAGCTGCTCACCCTGTGACCAGAAAGAAAGAAAGAAAGAAGAAAAAAAACACAATGACAAAAGAGAATTATCCTTCAACCTGTTCGAATTGCTCTTACCCAGTTTCTGTCAGTATGGGATCCTGCACTGTATTTTTCTCCAAGCTACTGAAAGACAATCCCAGACGAACAGTAAATTGAAAGTTCTGAGAGGAAAATGAAAGAACTTGATGTAGTTTTACGGAAATTGGCATTCTCACCATTTTCCCTCTGCGTCTGGGTCCATTTGACAGAGTGCTGCAGAGTTGCTTTGAAATCTCTTCAATAGCTAAACAACTAATGAATTTACACAAACCTCAGCAACCAGCTCTAAACTCTGCCTCACTTCTGTGGGTGTGCATTAGGAATGGCTCATTGGCTCGTAGACCGAGCATGAGTTGATATTTCATTTGTGCGGTGTTGGGAGTTAACCATGTTATGGTTATAGGTGCAATGTGCACTGCAGATATTGGATTCTCTAATGCAGACAGATTAAAGCACTTGCAGATTATATTTCTAAAGACCATATGAAACTCCAAGGGCCACGGTTAATGACATTCAGGTTTTGCAGCACACACATGCAGTAATCACACAGTGGTGGGGGAAGAATTGTTGATTTTTGAGTTCTCTCATCAGCTGTCTTAATATCTGTCCCCAGTAATGCTACTTTGTTTAGCTGATTTGAATTTGATTGTTCCCTTAATGCTAAATGTCTCTCTTAGCCAGATACATGAACTGCAATCCTGTGAAGCATTGTGAAAGATATGAAACTATTGATTTACAGTTTATTGCTAAATTTTCATACATTTTATATTTATACACTACCATTCAAAAGTTTATGGTTGATGAGATTTTTAAATGTTTTTGAAAGAAGTCTCTTCTGCTCACCAAGGCTACATTTATTTGATCAAAAATTAGGTAAAACAGTACTATTGTGAAATATTTTTACAATTACATTTTTTAAAATATATTTTAAAATGTATTTTTTTTTCCCTGTGATTGTAATTTTCAGTAGCCTTAACTCTTGAGTGTCACATGATCCTTCAAAAATCATTCTAATACGCTGATTTGTTGCTCAAGAAACACTTTCTTCTTATTATAAAAGTTGATACTTTTTATTTTTGGATACTTTGATGAATAGAAAGCTCAAAAGAACAGCATTTATTTGAAATTGAAACATTTTGTAACATTATATACGTCTGTTTTTCACTTTTGGTCAATTCAATATGCATCCTTGCTAAATAAAAGTATTAAAAAAAATTACTTCAAACGTTTGAATGATCGTGTTAGTAGTTAGAAATTGATTTGGAGTTATATTGTTATAATCACTGTCATTGAGCTTCCTGCAGTAAAACGTCTTTTAATTTTCTCCACTGGGGATTTTGTGCTTATCAATGTAAAATCATGTAAATCATTAAAAAACAATTTACTTGTGTAGAAAAACAATGGTATTTTTACTTCAGGAACCCACCAGTTGTGCCTTATAACCGTGACAAATAACAAACATAATTTAAGTACAACATCTTAACATCACCACACAACAAATAGTGGATATTGGATTTTGTGCAGAGAACAGCAGTAATCAATAGAGAATTAGTTCGATCTATTATTTAATAATGCTTATTCTTTGGATTTTATGATGTTATAATGAGGGAACTTTGGTTCAGTTTGAAGAACACACAAATAGGTCTAACCACAGAAAATGCTGATGGCTTACTCTGCCTAAATGTAGCTGAAGGCAACATTGAAATTACCCAGAACACCACAGCTGTTGCACAGAGATGCTCATGAGATTGTGTTGTCATTGAAAGAGCAGTTTTTGATATTTCTCCTGTAGTGAATCTGTCTCGCCGGCAATTGACTAAAGACTGGTGATTAATTGCTACACCTGAACGTGTTCTTCCCATGGGTCTCCACTACACGCCACTGATCTCTTTCTCTCTCTTTTACTGTCAATCTCTGTCACTCGTCCATGCAGGTGTTTGTGGAGAGTTTGCTATGCTCGGGACGAGAGGAAAACGTCCGTCTGGCGGGTCAGCTGATGCACTGCAGCGCCGTGTCAGAGGACACTCCAGTCAGCGTTTCGTTCCGTGGTAAAGCTCACAGCCGTGTGTCATATAGCCACAGCGTGGAGCTGGTTCTGGCTGCTGCCCGTGAATACTTCAACTCTTCAGCCACGCTCAGTGACCCCTGCATGAACCTGGCACGGTATGATGTCCCATGATCTTCTGATGTGTTTAGATAGTGTGTGCCACATAAACTAGCAATAACAGCAGAAAATAACGTTCAACTTCTTAATAATTAAGATTTTAAAATGCCAGTCTGTCTCAAAATATGAGGTAATGGGAGCATGGGAGACTTCACTAGTTCTCAAACCTCAATCACTTTTTTTTTGGTGAACAAAGACTCAAATTTTGGCATAAATACAAACAGTAACTGTACCTGAACACAGACCTGTAAAGCTGTGCCTCTTTTTTTGTATATTGTAAGATGTATTTTTGTATTATTAAGAAATAATAATTAATAGTAATAATAATAATTATTATTATTTTAATGATACAAAATGTATTTTGTAATATCTCAAACTAAATGAATAAAATGTCATATTTTTGTATAACTAAAATGTTTTTTATCATTATTATTATGATAATTGCAGTTAATTTATTTTAAATATTTTTATTACAATTATTTTATTAGTAGTAATAATATTAACTCATTTTAATTATACTAAATATGTCTTGCAATATCTCGAAAATAAATTACAGTTACATTAATATTTACATTATTAGACATTATTATTTTAATACTTTATTATTCATTTTTGTGACAGAAAATACACAGAAATAGCAGAGTACAATAGGCCTAGTTACAGTAATACATTTTTAAATGTGTCAGCTAAATTAATAAATACAACTTTTTAAAAAATATTATGCAAATTTTAAACTTTTTCCAAATATTCACCAAAATATTGGCATAACCACTGGGATAATGTAAGCGGACATGTGTTCTTATGTCAAGAAATATGCGCTGACAGGGGGCTTGGGGGATCAAATCAAACTCTAGTTCAGACCAAACTATCAAACCATGAGTGAAAATAGCCTGAAACTACCTCTTCAAACTCTGCAGTTGTGTGAGGAGTTTATGAGGAAAGAGGAAGAAACCCTGCAGGAATAAAACGGTCCAATGCCATTCTGGTATCCTGCCTCTGTTATGAGTCCAGCCTTTCACAATGGCTATTATTGGTGTAATTAGCTGCCATAATGAGAGATCGACCAATAAAAACACTTGTAATTATTAGCTTACTGAGGCTAATCAGAGGCCTTCATTACAAAGACTGTTTTAGCCCCAGGAAGCAGAGGGTTGTGCAGTGGGTGTTTAGTGAGGTTGTTACATGTTGAATGGGGTTTACAGGGATTTTGAAGATAGCTGGTGCTTTCAAGTACATTTTAATAGTAACGCAGTTAGTTTTTAAAGTGTTCAGTGGAAAGGAAGTGGAGCGATGTAGTAAAAGAACATGAGCGTTTTCATCGGTCTGTACTTCAGAAATGGTGGGATTGTGATGTGGTGAATTGATGATGATGATGATGATGATGATGGTGGCTTTCCTGGTTCCTCAAGCCTTTGGTTGACTGCTGATTCTAATGATGATCAGGACCGTCCTACTATCTAATCAACCACTGACTACAGCAAACAAACACAATTGGTGGAATGTCTGCTTTAGATTCCTTTTTGTTCTTGCATACAAATCACTTGGCACATGTAACTTGCATTATAGTACTTTTTTCCTTTGCCGTATGTCTGAAGTGGCCCCAAAACCTATTTACACCATTTAAATTACACAAAAAATGTGTGAGATTGCACATTGCATTATATAACAAAGGATCAAGTCAATGGCATTTATTTAAAAAATTTTGAAAATTTGCAGCAAATTATGTCACAAATTGGAGTTTGTTAACAGGGTTCCCACACGTCCTGGAAAACCTGGGAAATTGATGACTAGTTTTCCAGTCTTGGAAAGCATGTGGGAAATGAGAGAAAATTAAAAATGTCCTGGAAAATGGCTACAGAGAGTTCAGCCTGTAATAGAGCAAAAAAACATTTTGTTTATGTACTCATATTTTCATTCTATCTTATCTCTTGCTTTAAAAAATAAAATATTAACAAATCTGAATCGGCCCATTTGCTTGTAAAAAATTGGAATTGGCCTTGAAAAATCAAGATTGGTACATCGCTACTGTGTTTCCCAACCTTCTATCCAGTGGTCAACTTTAAGAGAAGTATTTCAGTAATTCAGTAACTTGTTAACTAATAATTTTGATTATTGACAATAGTAGGCTATTAGTACTTCTTTACCAAGTCGATATTGACATTTAAAAAATGTAACAATACTGACATTTCTACAGCACTGGTTGCACCAAGTACAGACTCAATTCAGTAGTCCCTGATAGGCGGCTGCTTTCAAACACTTCAGTGCATATTTATATCGCTTTCTGTGAACAGCAAGATATACTGTACTGTAAAAATTGAGAAAGTATTTGTATACATTAGGGTTGTCAAATGTTAGTGGTTGGGCTGCACCATTTGGGAGAAAATAAATTCCAGTCTGTGCTGAAAAGCTACTGGCAATCAAACTATCGTGGGAGGGGCTCGATTCAGATCGGCTCGATTTGAGAAAGGGGAAAACATTTAACCAGATAAAAAAAAAACACTGGGTGGATTTTTATCATTATAGGCTGGTTGTGTACACACACTGCCAACACACATTTCCGTTCAAACAACTTGTAAAAGTGCATGTAGCATCCTATGACCCCTTTAATCATCATGCACTTGTCGTTTCAAACCCATAAGATGCATGTTCATCCTTGAAGCACAAACAAAGATATTTTTTTATGAAAACCTAAGAGATTTCTGTCCCTCCATTAAAAGTCCATTCCACCTCTTCCAAAAGTTCATAAAGAGATCATAAAGGAAATCCATATGAATCAAGTGGTTTAATCCACTTGATTTAATCCAGGATAGATTAAATAGATTCATGTAGATTTTAATCTAGACTTTTATTTATATACTGTACAAACACTGATCAATGCACATATAAAGAGTCAATCAAATATGGTAAACGGAAGCGCAGCCATACATGCTTGACTGGTAAGAACAAACCTCATTGGGTCTCTACGTCAAGCAAGCATGCATGAGCTTCCGTTTACCATATTTGATGTGCTGTAGTTGTATGTTATTACTTCTAAAAGTGATCATACAAAGGATTTTTGCCTTTTGGGTGAGAAAACGAGGGATTAAAAGCAGTCTAATTTAAACTATTGATCTCCATAGAAATAATAGCCTATAAGCAGAGTGCATGTTTCCTCCACAGACCACTACTGAACGTTTTTGTTGTTGGACATTGTTTTTGTTGTAGAAAGCAAAAAACGCTTATGTAGCCCAACAAGACAACCCCTTCTAACAATGCCTTAGCAACCACCCAGAGCACCAGGCAACCATGTAACAGTGCCTATTAATGATACCATTGAAGAAATTAACCAAGCTCTATCTAGAATATTATAGAGACTTATAGGACCAACTACCTAGCAACCACCCATTACACCTTGTAGTCACCTTGCAATGTCCTATCACCCACTTTAGCACAACGGTGTTGATTTTTGCACAGCACTTTCTTAAAATGTTTTATTGTGATGTATTGACTGTGTTAAGTTAGACCATGAACTTTTAAATACATCCAACTTTGTAAAGAGGTTAAGAACAGAAACATCTGTTGTGGATTTTCAAACTAGGTTAAAATGCAAAGTAAATTCCGAAAAAAAACGACAGAATGTTAAAGATGCCCTAGAACTCTCTTCTGTTCCTGTCTAACTGTCCCTTTCTCCCTCTTCTTTCGAACACTGAAATAAATCATACATGTGTGAGTGTAAATGAGATGTGGGGTTTTAACTAGAAGATTTTATTTGAAAATACAATTTTCAAATTTTCTGCGTTTGCCACAAATACTACTTTCAAACTAGGTGGCCTTGAAAACAGACATCCCGTGTGTAATCCTGAGAGAGCGACTGCTTAAGTCGTCACTAACATACGGACACTTCCTGCTAAACAAAACCAATAAAAACACTTGTAATTATTAGCTTACTGAGGCTAATCAGAGGCCTTCATTATAAAGACTGTTTTAGCCCCAGGAAGCAGAGGGTTGTGCAGTGGGTGTTTAGTGAGGTTGTTTCATGTTGAATGGGGTTTACAGGGATTTTGAAGATAGCTGGTGCTTTCACGTACATTTTAATAGTAACGCAGTTAGTTTTTAAAGTGTTCAGTGGAAAGGAAGTGGAGCGATGTAGTAAAAGAACATGAGCGTTTTCATCGGTCTGTACTTCAGAAATGGTGGGATTGTGATGTGGTGAATTGATGATGACTGTTTGATTAATAAGTATGCATTCATTTAGCAGGCACTTTCAAATCTTTCTATGTTACACTTATTACATGCACAGTACACGTTTAGGTGCCTTACTCAAGGTCACTGGTGATAGTTTTAAACTTCAACCTTGTGGTTGCTCCCCCCAGATCACTAAGCCACACTACTGTGATTAATATGTTGTGTACTGTATTCGTAGAAAACAGCTGTGTAAGTGCCTTAAACTGTTTGAAGGGTAGAATAATTGTTTTTTTATATTGGCCTGTAGTTGTATGAACCGCAGTAAATCTTATGCAAAGCAGAGCTGGAAACAGTCTTCTAGGTATTCTGGATTGCGGTGTCACTGAAAATAACTACCATGTAAAACTCACAAATTGTAGAGGAAACTACTCGAAAAATGCTGCTGCATTTTGGTGTCGTTGTTGTTTTTTCTTCAAGCTCTTAAATTGAATTATTATTTCTGTTCTGCTTTCTCTGTTGCTACTGGCTTGGCTCAAAAGTGCACCGCTAGCTTCCCTAGGTCCAGCTGTCTCAGCCAAACTATATTGGAAAGTGACAGCAGAGCTGGCCCGGGATCTGTGCTTTTATTTGTTCTTTGGTCTGTCCCCGTTGTCCTATGAAGCACATTTATAGCAGCACAGATGTGGAGCAGACGCAGGCCTCTGCAAGGCTCTGATAACGGTATGAAAGTGACGTGATGTCAGAGTCTCAGTCTGTAATTAAGAAATAAGGAGAATCAAAACTCATTTGAAGGAATGGCTTCTCATTAAAAAATCTTAAATATCCCCAACTAATTTAGTTTTTGTGGATTTCCTCTGAAATGGCTCAAAATAGTCACTTTCCCCATCATTTGACCACACAAACATTGTTGTTGCAATTAGTAACATACAGTAAAAAAAAAAAAAAAATGCACATCTATTAAATGCAAATTTTTCCCACAGTTTTTATTTGGGTGAACATTAGGGAGAATGATATTTAATAATTTTTTTATGCTCCAATACAGCAGTAAAAAGCATTTAACAGAAATATGCATGTATTTTTTTTTATTAATTGTTTTTACAAAAACAGCCTTATGTGTGAATGCCACTTGGGTCAACCTTTTTGAGCATTATCACATACAGATTTTGAAAAAGTGACCTCACCTTTTTTTTTTTCCCTTCCACGGCAAGAGGAAGTGAAGTGATTCTCCCTGGTTCATGCTGTGAAAATTGAAGAGTGTTTTAATGATTTGTTACAGTAATAAGGGGCTTTACACATCACAACTTTTTGTAGTACATTGTTGGTCTATATACACATAAGATGAACATATCTAGCCGTTGTACCATGACTTGCAGTTTTCCCCCTCAGAGTCATACATTTCAAGTTAAAAGCAGTTCTGTTGTGCTCAGCCTAGCTGTTTTAACACAAGAACGTGTCCTGTGTGGATGCCCCTCAATTAAGACTTGCATTTTTATGGTATTACTGACACACTCATTTGTCCTCAATAGCTTTTCTCACTCTATTTCCATTTTCAGATTTCTGCTAGATACTCTATTGAGGTTACAAAAGAGATATCCGGAAAAAACTATGTTGATGTTCAATCTGGAGATTTAAAGCAGCTAGTCATCTATTGTTAATCTGTTGTTGTCAGTGAAGCATATTTGTGAGGAGACAAAATCAAGATATCATTGATAATACAACACAAGTGAAAAGTGAAGTAAAAGTACACATTTCTAAAAAAAAAAGTGGAAGGCCTCGTTAGCCCCATGTGTGTTTCTCCCAGTGTCCTTTTGAAGAAGTGAAGAAACTGTTTTATGTAGTCAAGGCAAGACCAGGAGCAACTCAACTCTCCTTCCTGAACTTAAGAAGGAAGTCTGAATACATCAAGTGGAAACTCTCCTTGAGCTCATTTGCCCCTCATGACCCGAGTGATCCCTCAGCTGTCCGTGCGCTCTGGTCTTTTTCCTAGCAGGCAAAGTTATACACTCAACTGTCAGCCAACGAGGAGCTGTAGCCTGCCTCAAAGCTCGACTTACTTCTTAATTTATCTGCTTATTTTGCAGATTTGCTTATTTAAATCTGCACTTTTCAACTTTACAAGTAAAAGTGTGAGCGATAAAGAAGCAAAAGCTAAACTGTAATCAACGAGGCTCACATTCAAGTAAACACAAACCTCTTAATGCCGCACACACAGATGCGCGGCTGTTTTTGGAAGCAGGTTAATGACTTTGGCAGGTGCTGCTGATGGCTGGTCTGTGTGCGGTTCAGGTGCTGCCCCCACGGTGTCTCCTCAGAAGATGGAGCTGTCTGCCCCCCCGCAGGCCTGTAACTCGCTTCAGACCAGCGTGACCTCCAGCACAGACCACTTCCAGCTCAATATTTTAAACTGTGCTCAGTCAGACAGCTGAGACATGCTTTGTGTCCATCCAATTACCACACATCACAAGTACTTGCCTGTTATGACAGGAAGTGAGGAGAATGCATGCAGTGAATTTGGCGTTTTTCATAAATTTTCTTTAGTTTAGATCTTTGCTGTGTTTTAAAGGGATTACTAGCTAATGCATACTGCACAGTATGGACTGTATACAGCATGCTATTTTATAAAGTAGTATGTTGCATTTTTATGGTATTACTGACACACTCATTTGTCCTCAATAGCTTTTCTCACTCTATTTCCATTTTCAGATTTCTGCTAGATACTCTATTGAGGTTACAAAAGAGATATCCGGAAAAAACTATGTTGATGTTCAATCTGGAGATTTAAAGCAGCTAGTCATCTATTGTTAATCTGTTGTTGTCAGTGAAGCATATTTGTGAGGAGACAAAATCAAGATATCATTGATCATACAACACAAGTGAAAAGTGAAGTAAAAGTACACATTTCTAAAAAAAAAGTGGAAGGCCTCGTTAGCCCCATGTGTGTTTCTCCCAGTGTCCTTTTGAAGAAGTGAAGAAACTGTTTTATGTAGTCAAGGCAAGACCAGGAGCAACTCAACTCTCCTTCCTGAACTTAAGAAGGAAGTCTGAATACATCAAGTGGAAACTCTCCTTGAGCTCATTTGCCCCTCATGACCCGAGTGATCCCTCAGCTGTCCGTGCGCTCTGGTCTTTTTCCTAGCAGGCAAAGTTATACACTCAACTGTCAGCCAACGAGGAGCTGTAGCCTGCCTCAAAGCTCGACTTACTTCTTAATTTATCTGCTTATTTTGCAGATTTGCTTATTTAAATCTGCACTTTTCAACTTTACAAGTAAAAGTGTGAGCGATAAAGAAGCAAAAGCTAAACTGTAATCAACGAGGCTCACATTCAAGTAAACACAAACCTCTTAATGCCGCACACACAGATGCGCGGCTGTTTTTGGAAGCAGGTTAATGACTTTGGCAGGTGCTGCTGATGGCTGGTCTGTGTGCGGTTCAGGTGCTGCCCCCACGGTGTCTCCTCAGAAGATGGAGCTGTCTGCCCCCCCGCAGGCCTGTAACTCGCTTCAGACCAGCGTGACCTCCAGCACAGACCACTTCCAGCTCAATATTTTAAACTGTGCTCAGTCAGACAGCTGAGACATGCTTTGTGTCCATCCAATTACCACACATCACAAGTACTTGCCTGTTATGACAGGAAGTGAGGAGAATGCATGCAGTGAATTTGGCGTTTTTCATAAATTTTCTTTAGTTTAGATCTTTGCTGTGTTTTAAAGGGATTACTAGCTAATGCATACTGCACAGTATGGACTGTATACAGCATGCTATTTTATAAAGTAGTATGTAAGGCATTGTGTAGTATGGAGCAATAAATGAAAGAAAGAAAGAGAGAGAATAAAAAGAAAAATCTGGATCTTTCGGCATATTGGAAATGGAAGATCAAGTCAAAGAGGGGTATTGTGGTATGGGGAGAGTGCAGTGAGCTGTGCCACTTTTAACTATGATGTGTGCTATCAACTAAAAATTAAACAAAAGCATCTATAACATGAATTCTCAAGAAAAAAAAAAAAAAAGGTCCAGCAACAGAACTTGCCCCACATTAAGGATTAATTTCAAATAAAACTATGAAGAAAAATGAGAGAAAAAAAGAAAACTGATGTATTATAGCCATTCCCAAGATTTTTATTTGCTGCATGTTATCCACATTTTCATAAATCTTTTAGGAAAAATATTTGATTTAATATTTAAAAGAATATTTGAATATATTAAATAGAATATTTTAATTATAATTATATTTTAATATGCATTGTAATATTTTAATTACTTTTTAATTTTGCAATCAGTTTTTTAACATTTTGTGATTATAATATTGTTTGTAATAATATTCCCTACATTTGTAGGCAGAGTTTAGGATCAGTATTATTTCAGCCATGGCCAACCCACAACTTACACCAAAGTGTTTAATGCACTTTCCCCCAAAAATATCATTTTGTGGAAAAAAAGTGTCATTCAATAATTCATGGCTGATCTTTAAAAAAATGTATGTGCTTTACATTGACATGAAAAAAATATATAAAACGAAAACCGTACATAATTCTGTCATGGGTGTCTGTCACATATTATACAGTTTGTACTGGATTTTCAAACTGACCGCAGACTTTTGAATGGTAGTGTACTGTATGTATATATCTCAATATTTATGTACTTAAAAAATAACTTTTTTTATGGATATCGGTCACATGCAGTTATATATGTGTATGTCTGTCTAAATATATTGCAATGTGGGGAAAAAAAGTTGTTTGCCAGATATTCTATAGAGGTTACAAAAGACATTAGCTCAATGGAGAGACATCTAGTAAAATCAAAAAAATCTTAATGGTAAATCTTATGATCTAAAGCAAAGAATCTTCAAGTGTCAATGTGGTTTTGTGTAAATAAATGGTCATGTGACAAATTCTGCACAAATTTCCAAATTAGCGGGAAGCACAGCTTGTATGAAACGGTGATTGTATGCTTCAGATTTTGGTTATTCTAGACTGTACATACTGCATTTCTGCTAGGTCTTAACTTTTGCTCTTTGTTTTGTTCTTTTCTCTCATTTCCTCTTTTCTCTCTGCAGTGCGTCTGCGGACGGATCGTCTATCATTGATAAAGCAGTGCATCTCTCAGTGCCCTACTGCGTACAGACAGTCCACTCTCCTCCTCAGCCTGGCCAGACTGCTGCGCGTTGCAGGTAAAACCGAATGAAAACCTCCCTCAGCATCAGGCTAACGGTCCTTTTATGTATGTCCGTTGCAGAAAAAACGCTTAAACTGACGTATTTCCAGCTACGAAGATTCATCAACACTGTCACAGACAGCCTGCCACAGAAGTTACAATAAAAAATACCCACATCAGTTCTTGGCATCGCTTCAGCCAAGGGCATTGTTTTAGTCGTTAGTCAAGTTATAACCTCGAAAGTTATAAATATTTTCATGCCATTCCAAAATGACAAGACAGTCGTAGCTGAAAGCAGCACAGTACAGCACCTATTTCTTGTAGATTAAACAGTGCTAATTTGTAAGCTTTCCAGTGTGCGTTTAATCTGTATCTGCCGAGTCAGGAGTGTCGTGTCTACTGGTGAATAAATAGATGAATGCGCATGAGTGAGCAATTGAATGAATAAGTAGACATTTCATTGAAGTATGCTTTGCTCAGGGGTTACAGATTAATATTGCATTGGACAGCCCAAAAAGATGTGCATCAGAGATGTGACCTCATGAATCGACAATCAGTTAGTTCCATGAATCTGCATGATGTCAGTAAAGTGAAGGGATTGTATAACGATTGGTCTTTAGCTTTCTCTCTCTCTTTCTTTCTTTCTGAAGTAAATCCATTGTGCATTTTTGTAAGGGTGCATGTGTGGATCGAAAATATCCAATTTATATTTATACATAGCCTCATGACAACACATGCGGTGTTGTCGGCTGCAGATAATTGGTCTGCACTGTTTGGTCCCACATTTGGAATGTTTGGATTTCTGTGTTTCTCAAATGCAGGAAATGGCAGTGTGTAATCAAAGACAGTGGGGTAATTTTGTGGTCGTACCAATATGATCTCTAAAAAAATTGAGTCACACTGAGAAAATAAATGGGCACAAAATGCAACCCTGGTGTAAATTAGGCACTTTTCACGAATAGGGTACAAAATAGGTCCTGGAGATTTGCAATCTATTTTATTTAATTTTTTACTTTTTACTTTACTTTTACATTTTTTTTTTAAACAAAATGGTAATTGAAAGGATGTGGTTAACCTTCAAAAATATTGATCGTCAATCTTAGTTCATATAATATTTAGTTAGATGTTTTTGTTCTATTTATTTTAAATGAGGTATGCAATTTTTCCAACCTTGTTTACACAATTTGGGATATTTTGTTTCCCTAGCAGTAAACATATTGGGTAGACAGAATAAGTAACACATTTGAAAATTTTAAAGTGCATTCATATTTCACATTATTTAATATATACACCCTAATACAATTTAACACACACACATACATTTTTTTGATGTTAACACTAACAGAATATAGTATGTATATGTTTCAAAAGTTTCAGTAAGCCTTTTTTTTATTCTTTTATTTAGCAGGGACATTTAATGACAATATTACTGTGTTTTTAGTCAAATGAATGCAGCCTGGGTAAGCATAAGAAACTTCTTTCAAAAACATTAAAGCAATCTTGTCAACTCTAGATTGACAAGACTATCAAATCACCAAATCACAACATTGTTGTACAGTTCAATTGTTGAATATCTCAGAAGTGATATACAGACCAAAATTTGCATTTTAATGGGCGATACATATATTTGATATGATTAATTCTAACTTTTTTCATGATAGCTTTTTTATGTTATTATAGCTTTTTATGTAGAATTATCTAACATATCTAGTTAATTCTCACATCAAAAAACATGGAGTTGGTGCCTCTGAAAAAGTCAAGGGACACCAGAGTGCTCCCCATTTGTGGAAGTATAATTTAACGTTCTTTCAAATCTCTTTTGGCCACTTATTTTGTGAGCCAGCATGGATGTCAGTCGTCTTCTCATAAGTGAAGCGATCGGTTCTTGTGTTGGTTGCAGGGGTAATTGAGGTGATTCCAGAGCTCTGACTCTCTTCTCTTCTGTGGATGTCAGGCAGATCAGTATGCAGGACATCAGAAGCTGTTCTTGTCGTATATAGTGGAATTGATTAGCTCTCTATGAAGTGACTGGGTGTTTGTCGTGTTTGTGTTTGATGTATTCACCTTGGCTTACCCTCGACTAATGGCCGTAGGGCTGTTTTGTTTGTGCGTGTGTGTCAGTGCACCTGTGCCTGTATCTGCACTGGCATAAGTTAAAGGTGAAATGAGGAGAAACGGAAAGCTATGAATACTCCTGATATATCAAGACTCCCATGTCACACATAAATCAGTTTGGAATAAGGCCACTTCCCATAGTATCGACCCTTTTGATTTTACTGGCGAATAATCATATCCATGGGATCGCAGGCATGCGCGCACATGTGCACGCTCACTCTCCTGCCTCCTCTCGTATTACTGCCTGTCTGGCCTTTGATGCTCGACACACACTTTAATGAAAAAGTATCACTGTTTTCATCAGGTTTCGTGGTCTTTTTTTATTTTCTTATTTTGGACTGAGATCAGAGCTGTGTAAGAGAGCATTCTCTGAGATGTGATTGTGATATTTGTACATCGAAGCAGCCATCCAGGAATTTATCAGAAAAACATCTAAAAGGAAATTAATTTACTTTTGAGTAGTAAAGCGATGTTTTATGGCATATTTGTTCATATATGATAGTGATCAGATCCTGACAGAACGTTGAGGAGTTTAAGAGTGAACTTTGAAATGAGTGACAATTTCTTTAAATTCATCTGAACTGAAATGTAATGTGCTGCTGATGGTAATTATAGATGGGTTTAAAGGAATAGTTTGTCCCTCAATTGAAAATTTGCTGAAAATCTGCTCGCCCTCTGTCCATCCAAGATGTTGAGGAGTTAGTTTGTTCATCAGAACAGATTTGGAGAAATTGAGCATTACATCACTTGCTCACCAATGGATCCACTGCAGTGAATGGGTGCCGTCAGAAAGAGAGTCCAAACAGCCGATTAAAACATCCACTCCAGTGCATCAGTTAATGTCTTGTGAAGTGAAAAGCTGTGTGTTTGTAATGAACAAATTAAATCAAGACGTTTAGCATCAAACTGTTGTATACGAGTCCATATAATATCCAAAATATTGCTTTCTCGAGTGAAAAAGTTGTCTTGTCTGAATCAGGAAGGAAATATTTAAAGTTTAGAGTTAAAATGCCTTAATGGCTTGCTTAGTTGGGGACACTTCATTTCCAGCGTTATCGTTGACATGATTGCAAAGATATTATTTAAACTGAGCTGGATGTTGACATCACTGAATTCAATGATGAACTGTCTTTAACTGAAAAATTAGTGTTTACTATTGTCATTTTGCATTATTGACACTATTTTCCTAATTAATGCTGTTCAGTTGCTTTGTCACAATCTGTATTGTTAAAAGCGCTATATAAATAAAGGTGACTTGACTTGACTTGACTTAATGATGGATATGTTTCTCAGCAAGTGATGTAATGCTGAATTTCTCCAAATCTGTACCAATGAAGAAGCAAAGTCATTTACATCTTGAATGAGAGTGAGTCAGTTTTCAGCAAAGTTTCATTTTTGGGTGAACTATTCCTTTAAATGTTCCAGAAGTTGTCATGTCTCATAGTTGTGTGATTGTTTTGGTGTTGGTTTAGGTGATGATGAGGCCAAGAGGAAGGGTCAGGTGCTCACGCTGCTTGCAGAACAGGCTCTCCGCTGTCAGGACTTTAAGGCCTCCTACATCCACTGCCAGGATCTGATGGCTGCAGGTAAGCTGGAACAGCTTGACTCTAAATCTCACTTCGCTTTCTACTTTGTTTTAATCCAAATCAGAAACACACTGCAGATTTTCAGGGATCAGACTTTTGTATTCTTGAACATCTTGAATCTTAACTGTTTTAAGAGAAAGATCCCCTGATTACAGTAATTTTATTTATTTATTTTCATTTCATATAATTTTTTTTTAAAAACCTATTCAACCTACCTCACCTCCTCTTTGCCATAGTTCTTGCATAGTAACAGACAGTAATATATTTCTGGCCTTGTTGCATTTATTATTGATAGGACATTTGAAGCAATGACAGGAAGTGATTGGAGAGGAGAGAGAGCAGTAAGATCAGGAAAGGACCACAAATAATCACACACAAAACCATTCATGATCAGTATAATTCTTCTATTATTTATTATTCTAGAATTTACACAGAAATGTAATATACGTTTCTGCGTAAATTATGATATTTGCTTTAAAAAATGTAGCATAAACACATTTAGAAACTACAACATTTGTAATTTTAAAATGTAATAATTAAATATACACCACTAGGGCTGCACGATAAATCGCATGCGATATTTAATGCGCATCTTATCAGTAAAGCCGGTTCTGTAATCAGCGGTGTAGCGAATCAGCTCATGGGGAAATATGAATAATTAACCATAACTAGTTATAATTAACTATTCATATTTTAGATCCACTGTAGATATTTAGCTGACCACTCAGGGTCAACCGTCTTGTCAATTCTAAGAACGTTAATTTCCTGGTTAAAGGAAATAACTTTCTTACTGTACAATTCTATAAGTTTGTAACGTAAATCTGCATGATTATTGACTCCGGTTATGAGTAAACAATGAACACGTCAAGTGTGATACAAGTAAGGTTTTATTAACTACATAAACACTTAAACTAGTCTAACATACTACATAAACACATTAAGCCGGTCTAACATACACATACACACACACACACATACAGTTGGTATAGGAAAGGGTTAAAGTTTAGCACTAAAGAAAGAAACATAAGGAATGACATTTATGGAACCATTTTGCATATTCAGCAGATCTAAAACCTGAGGGAAAACGTCAGATTCTTAGTTCAAACAAACCTTGTAAAAAGGTGTAACTGATACTTAATGCATCAATTAAATCGACTAAGTTTGATACTTGCGTATGTCTGAAAAAGATTCCTGATGCAATCTTAAGGCCCCAAGATCTTGCTGAAGTTGGTTGATGAAAAAGAGCTAGTTTGAGTCAGAATCACTTGATGAATGAAAAGGACTAGGCCCGAGCCTGGCACGAGCTTTGGTATCCTGGAGCGTTTCTCACATCTTCATCTTAGCATCTCACTGAACCACCGAACAGGGCGGGTCACATGGAGTGTGGCCTTTAAAGCCTGCAGAGATTCAAGCCTCTCAAGATGGGCTTGCCCAATGGGGAAGTCCGGAATCTCAAGCGGGAGTTCTGCGTTTTTATGGCCCTTTGTCTCTAAGCATGGTATTTTGCATATGTAATTCACTTGAGTGTTGATGCAGAAATTAGTAATGATTCTTAGAACATCCATATGTTGCAGAGGTATCAGCATGTAATATGCACTCTCAGTTAGATCATCCGAAGACGAATTCATAGATACTAGACATGGTAGAGTTACTTATATGAATGAGTGGTTTATCGTAAGCATGAATAAAAATAGTCTATAATACAACAGATTAAATACAACACAGCAATAATATACACAATGGCCTGAAGAAAATGGGTGTTCATTCAAAGAAGGTTTTCCTATGAATTAATTAGTAGAAAAGTCAGTTTCTCCTGTGCATTTGTGCCTTTCTTATGAGGAAAATGAGGGAGTTTATCCCCTGCATTCCTTTTAGGCCATAAAACCAGTGATATCAGCATTGGTTACCATGGAACCAGAGGCCTGTTCTGCCTTTCTGAGGTGTTAGGTGCATTTCGGGGGAAGGGTCCATAGACCCTCGTAATTGGCCATTTGGTTAGGTGATGGGGAGTTCGATATTATTTGTTAAATATAACAAAAAGTTGTGTGTCTGATTGGTCCAAATGCTACATAATTCCCCCCTTTCGAACGTTGTTGTCCATCCAATAGACAACAGCGAGCGACGTCAAAGGTGCAAAACAACCCAGACACGCCCCTGCCACTCACGGCTGGGAGACAGTGGTGGCTTCTCTGGCTATTGTTGCCTCCAGGAGTGGTTGTGGTGCCATGGTGGATGCTGTTAGGTGGTGTGCTGTGGTGATGTAGGCTGTAGCAAGGTGAGGGTCCTCGAGCTTGTGCAGCAGGTGTCGAGGCTGTGTCACCTGTTGAGTTAGTCTGGGTAAGATGGTTGTTTGTCGATGTTGTTAGCCAGTAGGCTATCCGTGGTACCCACGATGTGGAACAGCCGGGTTAGACTCTCACTGGTGAGAGTGCAGGTGGTTCCAGGGATTGCAGGTAATTGTTATGGAGATTTTGTAGTGTGCAGAGAGTTTCAGACTGACCTAGTGATGATGGCAGGAGAGCAGCAGGTGGTTGTTAGCTCTCTGTTCTGCCCGAACGTCACTAGAAATCCGATGTTTGCGGTGTCGCTTGGCTCTTGTGGCGGCACCGACTTGAGCTTGCCTGAGTTGTGTTGGTAGAGCTTTCGCTGTTGGGCAGGTGGGCCCGCTGCTCAATCCAACGTTGTCTGGCTGCTTCTAGGGGTGTCGACCGGTTTCAAGGGATGCTCCTCCCTTGGAGGGGCCTGATGCTGTGATGCAGCAGTTAAGGAGTCAGAGGTTTGTCCTTCTCAATACTCCTTAGTTGAGTTTTGTTCAAGGAGCTCTTTTGCGAGTGTCAGCAGCTCCTGTAACCCAGAGGTAGGCGTGTCCAGCTGTCCTTGTGTAGCCTCCGTTCAGCACCCGTGTGGAGGAGGATGTTGTGGTGGACTGCTGTTGGACATACCGTGGTGTTTGCAGGATGAGGACGCCTTTTCCCAGTGGTTGGTCTGGAACCTGGGTCTGTTGCCATGGTGATGGCTCTGTCCTCTTCTGGCTAGGGGCTTTCTGTAGAAGGGTTTTGCATTGTGGCAATGCTGGGTGCCTTCTGGTGCCCGCTTTGGATTCTGAGTTGTGAAGTTCAGAATCAGTGGGGTTTGACAAACACCTTTAGTGGAGGCCTTGCTGCTTGTTAAAGGCCTTCTGTGTCAGGTTACACAGCTGTTGATTAGGCATTGTGCGGCAGGCCCTAATGCCTAGATGACTTCTTGCAGCTGGTGTCCTCCGCCATCCCAGGGTAATCGTGAGCTTGGAGTAAGTTTGTCAAAGTCTGTGGTAGTAAGCATGGGGAGTTGCACGCCGGCCCTGCTTGGTGTCTGGGGCAGCGATCAGTCCATGTTCAGACTCTGGGTCTGAGAGTATTTAGGTTGCCAGATGTGTTGTCTCTGGCCAGCTCGTTGGGGTCACACGGTGTGTGTGTCTGCAGTGATCCTCTGGAAAAGTCCCTGCCCCACCCCCTTGTGGCTGCTGGTTGGTGACGTGTGAACAGTGGCTCTCGCCCCCCCCTCGCAGGTTCAAACTCTTGGCTGAGGGGGTGGGCCTGCTGGCCAGGGGAAGTTCTGTTTCGTGTTTCCCTGTCTGTTCACCTTGTGGTCTGCAAGCATATTTCAGTTCATTTGTGACACTGAATTCACCTCGTTGCGTTGCTTCGGTTCGCCTGAAAATTATTATTATTATTTTTTTTTT